AGGTCAAATTCAGGACCGGGGACATAGGTCTTCGAGAACGTCGACGAAGACACAGCACGGTAGACGACGAAGACGACGAGTTCAAATGTGATTGCGGCTTCGANTACAATGGAGGCACAGGGAGATGCTTGAGGCATGTTATAGCGCGGAAACGACGGTAGCTGTACTGGGGCATAGGAGGTGGGTTGAAAAGGCGGGAAGGGATATCGTTAGGATAGACAGACTAGGGAAGACATTTTTGAGCCACCTTTGGCAAAGTAGAAAGGAACGATTGGCCATCGGTGATCGGTCCTGTGGGAACAATGCTCCGTCCTGTCGAGGACGTGGTCAATGGTCTAACCGCTAAGGCATGCAAAACATCAGAGTACGCCCCCCCGTCCCCCCCGTCCCCCGGTGCCATAACACCGATGGGTGCCGTAACACGCACAGTTACGGGAAGTAAGTACTCGTCAGAGGGAGATGGTATCGTAATCGCGGCGGCCTCGACAAAATGTTTTCGGGAGGGTTTAGTCGGCGAAGGCGAAGGGTAATGGCCTTTGCTCGGGCCAGATCAGTGAGCCAACACAAGACAACACACCCTCCCGTCTCGTGGACGTCCGTCGTGTGCGGGCTCCGTGCATGGGCAAACCACGAATCGCACCAACACAGCAGCAGCAGCATTTTCCTTTGTCGTAGATCTGCACTTTCAACGTCGGAGGATGGTGTGTGATGTGCGAGGGTACACTTCCCCGACACTTTGCAAAAGCGAGCGCGCTCACAGCTCCCCGCCCTGCTAAGAAAGGCCACGGAAAGTAGCCACCACCAAGCAACAAACCTACCTTATCAGCAGCAGCAGCACAACATCGAAGGCAGCCATAAACAAACAACAATACCAATGAGCAGCAGCAGGCGACAACGTTCACTTTGCACCCCGCATGCATGACGAATGCTTCTCGAATTTCGAAGAATTCGCAGCGGGAAAACATTTGGGGAAAAGTGTGGTTTGGTCATTTGCATACAATGTCATGCTGGCGATGGTTGAGGTACGTGTAGAAATTGGACTCGTGCGCATCATCGTATCCCCACCATGGCTGTTACCATCGTCCATCACACAAGCTGATTGGTACATGTTTACCATCAGAGGGGCTGCTATCGCTATCGTGTCCGCTTTGGCATCAAGGCCGGCCAGAAGGCAAAGAAAGCGTTTTTCGCGTCGTCCGCAAAAAAAACGTCATAATCCGACAAGAATCCTCTCGCCCAGATGATTCCCTCTTCCCCCTGATACATGGCGTGAGTATGTGTACTTGCTTCGTCCCTTGCAGTAAGCACGGTAGACTTCGTCTTTGCAATTGCGTGCCTCTTTCGTGTCCTTGCTTGTGAGCGTCATCGAAATCCGGTCGTAAGTGCGCATAATATGTCGTTGCGGCGGTATGCATCTAGAAATCGGACTGGTGAGTTATACAGTTCAATTGTCGTCGCCTCTCGAGAGAGTCGGAGGCGCCGGGGTGGACGTTCAACGTTCACGTCCTCTCGCTCGCTCAGTTTCGTCGCCATTGAGTGGTGCAACGGACAAGCTCGCCGGCTGAGCCCGGTCTTGTGTACTTCATTGTTTTTTGCTTCTTTCGCGCGTTCACTTTACTAATACTTTTTGTTATTGCGGGCGTTCATGCCGCCTCCCTCTTTTTTCTCTCTCGTAGTTTACCTATGACGAAGTATATTTCCTGCGTATCTTGCCTGCGTGCCTGCCCATTGGCGTGTCCCAGCGGTTGCACGACGTGCGTGCATGTTTCCTACCGGTCGTTAGTTCGCAAAAAAGCAAAAAAGTGGGGTATTGACGTAGAACGAACGCCCGTCGGGTTCATTGCCACACCGCCCTGATTTCTGGATAGGAGGAAGCAGGTGGATGGTTATCTTCTTTCGAACGATTGTGCTCGGTTGAAGCACGAATAGGAGTAGTCACTCTAGAGCTCTACAGCGATTTTCCTGGAAAACTAGTCGGAAAAGCAACATCCCTCAAGGTTCCCGCGGGAAGTCCGAATGTCCGACACCCGGTTGCGGCGGTACAGGTGTCCATATACCATCAAATATGATGTCTCTCATGAAGAGTGAGAGACCGAGACAGAGACACCCCTCGTCCTCTGCGCAGGGAGAACGAGCTGGGTTTCCGCGTGTGTGTGTCCACTGAAGTTGGTGCTGTTCTTCTTCGTGATACGTCGGACAGCACCAACGCGCGCCACATACTCCTCACGAACAAACGTTCGCTTTCTTCCCCTGGCCAAGTCCCTACTCAATTCTAACCCTTGCTCCCTGCCTAGCCAAAGTAAATTGGATTTGAGGCCGGGGCAACCCCCGGGCTAAAACACAGGTACAAGTCATGCATAACATAATCGCACTCACAGTACGACGACACACCTTGGGGCAGACATCCGACACCTATTTGTGTACGGTCGGGCACCCACACGGGATGTACAAAATACAACCCACCCTCTGGAATACCGAAAACGAGTCAAATCTAAAAAGCTGTCATGAACATGCCAGAAAAACCAATACGTGCCGACGCCCCGTCTCACACTGTTCTTGGAAAGGTACCACTCTGCCTCAACACCGGCCTAACTAATGCGACTGGACAAAAAAAGTCGGAGCTTGCGCTTGGTGCTAGGCGGTGTTTGGTAATCGAAACTACGGCAAGCACGATAGTATCGTTGAGTCGAAAAGGTTTTTGTCTTGTGCGGGCTCTGGGCTGTACACACGTTGGACACTAGCAAAATTCTGCCTTTGTGACGCAAATAGATCGGACGAAGCTTGACTTGCGGCGTGCAATCAGCATCCCAAGACATTTTCATTCCATGCCTCATTTGATTTACGGTCGTGTGTGCGAGGCAAAAAAACAGGCCGTGGGCAGCGCATATGGTATGAACGAGCGAGAGATGTATAAATAAACACGCGACCCACCCAGCTGAATCTGCACTTGGGTTCCTACCACGCTGGTGCATGTGTGATTATGCTCTTCGTGTGATCGCCCACTTCCCTGATGGGCAGCACCCTTGCAAGATTTTCTTCAATCGTGAACCTGCCCCGCCCGTACGTTCTTCGAAACATACCTCTCCACCAAAGAACTACAAAAATGGAATCGAGACAATCTTCAACATGACTTGTTCAAGTCTTCTAGGGTCCATTGATGCCTGCTGCATGGTGGAAGCTGGTTGTGTTGAAAGTCCTTCAGCTGGGGGTCTCCCAGTAACGTCGGCCGGAATCCCCCCGACATACAGACACGGTACAGTTTTGGAACTTCAAGACGAAACATTCGACTTCCGCCCAACAGAGTCGTGGCAAGTTGAGTTGGCTCACATCTGCAAGTGCAACGCACGCACAGGCAGCACTGGACCACTGAACCTTCTCATCTGAGGCATGCGCGTGTCACGGCAGTACTGGACCAATACTGACAGGTTCACAGCTCCAGTTGCAACACCTGAACTACACTCCAACTCGAAATTACGCAAACACGTTCCGCCCCGCCGTAAAATGTTGATACGGAGGTCATGTACACCGGCACCCATCAGGATATCTCGACACCGCACACAAGGGCCGCAACGACTGGACTGAGACGGACTTCATATATATTGTGTGCGTGACCACTACCTGCAGTGGCAATACCTGCGATGAAGTAAGGAAGCTGCAGGTTCCTCAAAAGTGAAATGGATAAATGTCTCCCCGTGTTCTTCTTCCGTAGTAATGGCGCAAGTCTAGCACTTTCACACAAAACATGTCAATCTCCAAAGAGGTTCTTGTTCTCAAAACGAAAGACTCAAACTATGCCCCGCCGGAAAAGATGATTTGACAGTAGAGATGTGCACAGCAACAGGAGTGAGACATTCAACGATAAAGCAGTACTGGATTACTCGCGAACGAACTTACGTGCGGCCTCAGGCGTTCCTAAACTGTGTGTGTCTACCGGCACCAGACTTTGTTCCACACACATCGGGCTGCTCCCCGTGGACAGGTTGCTTCTTGAAAAAACATTCCACACCCTGGACAACTACGATAGTTGGTAGTTGTTTGCCAAAGAGGCTGATTTGTTGATGGTCTATGTAGGTGCCTCGTCTGCACAGCAGCAACAGAGTAGGAAACTACAGAAATAAAGGGATACCCAAAAGTTCTGGACTAGAACGCCTTAAAACAACGGTATCTGATAGTTCTAACGCATGTCCAGCGGCAGAGCGAGGTAGCAACGGCAAGAGACTATTTTCAGAGGCAGGGGACACAAACTGTTATCGTGCAAGATTCGAACTTGACTCTCTGAAACGTGAATTTCGCGTCACAAACAGCCGATCACCTTTCTTACTATTGGCTTTGATATATGTGTGTGTGTCATGCGTTCGTAGCAACAGCAGACATACCCTGCACAACTATCAACCATTCAGGAGTGGGACACAACTCAGGCGTGAACTTGTCAGAAGAGTGTCGCCATGACCTTGTGACAAAAAAAAGGAGGTATCTGTAATGATGGGTATTGAAACACCAGCGGCCGCTGATAGTAGTCGGAGTGCAACGCTCACAAATGTACAGTACGCATGTTCAGAACGATTTCGATGCACATGCGCATACGAGTTTCGTACATGTTCCTCCAGCAGGCGTCACGATGAATCTCGGCGCGGGACGATAAGACTTCATTGAGGTCGTTTCATCCAGTCACTCAGAAACTAAGGTCTGAGAAAGATGCTGACCAAAAAGTATACGTGAAAAAATTCAGGCTCATGTCACATGCTAACGTTTGTGCCCTAAGCTGTGAGGCTTCCAACACCATACTTCCAACTGTAGCTTTGTGTCAAATTCATCAGCTGAAAAACAAACAGCGTACTTTCACTACATGCTAAAACCGGGGGGAAAAGCAAGCAAGAGAGCACACATCCAGACCCTTTCACCTTGAAAAACTTGAACAGCAGTAAGAAGACGAACAGGTTGTCGACGGAAAGGCTCATCTCGACCACGTAACCTAGGCGTCGGACGGGTGACGGGGCGAACCACAACGCGATTCATTGAGGGGAACTGTGGCGAACTTGTCCGCTCGAACAAAGCGCGCGAAAGTAGTAGGGGACGCAAGGAACTTCTCTCTTCAATCTTGTTCGTAGAGTAGCCTCCCACGATTCGAAATCGACATGAGCGGACCAATATGTAAAGGATATCCAAAATAAAACAAAATACCGGCTCACGGGGGTGGAAATTCCAGGACCGGAGAGAACAAGGATATGAAATAAGGTCTTTGCGGAGGAAACTCAATAATGTCGTCATTCATTGGCAGCGAATCTGCAAGTAGCTGTCGACACTACGTGAAAAATAATTCACGTGGGGCGATCTGCTCTAACGATAGCGTGCATTGTGGTTCCGAATCTGGATCTCTGCACATCATCATGTTCCAGTACCCTCGGAATCATGTGATTCTCCCCGAGCGCTGTGCGACGTCCCCCGTGCGGACAGATGCGCAATGGCGTGCAAGTGCCTCTCGAATCGCGCCGCCATGGCTTGGCATTACGGGCAGCGAGGGTCTGACACAAAATATTGGGGCGTGTCCAACGTGTCCTTCCTTCGTGTCCTTTCTTCGACTACGTTGTGAACAAACGACATTGAAAAGTGTCTTGCGTATTATGTTCGTGTGTGGTTGACCGGAATTTGTGTCGCCGTAGCCTATGGCTGCCTGTTTCTCCCTCCCTTGCCGTGTTTTACTGAGGGCGGCTGAGGAGTGAAGTCGTTGACCTTCCTTCCATTGCCGCACCGCCAGCTACAACTTTGTTGTCGCCGTCAAGTATTGCAATTCCTACATCGTGTCAATTGAATCCAACTTGCTGTTGCTGACGCCTACGTGCATCTCCAACGCCAACACTCCCCAACACTCCCAATGGGGACTAGGACGACTAGAGAAGCTCACTGACACCGTAAGATAACGGGGTTATGTCTTAACTGGAGCGAAGCACGTACCGGTGATATCGCACCCCCGTGCGACAAAAAAACAATAACCAAGTTATTTAATTCGATTATCGCACGGGGCCCGGTGATATCGCACGTGTCGGTGATATCGAACGGGGGTGCGATCCAAAATCGATCGCACCCCCGTGCGCTCTCTCGCACCCTTACGGTAAGCATGGGCTTCGCCAGCGCCACGGTGGGTGGGGTACCACGATCGAAGCAGTTTTCTTCACAAGCGCTATGGCGAAACGACTGTCGATACCCATCTGCGTCCAACACAATCCCAAAGTATTTCTCCCGAAGGGGACCTATGTGGAAATAGTTGTCGCTATCCATCTGCATTAGGTCTAGTAGATGTCACCGCACCGTTAGCCGAACAGCAGACCAACGAGAAAAAACGGGGGGGGGGGGGGGGGGGGGGGNAAGGGTGCGCTGCATCCTGCTAAGGGTGTTCCGCATCTTGTGCTTACTTACTTGCATACGGATGACAGCTGCGTATGACTTAATTTATTTTCTGGTGCTTTCACTTCCAGAGACAGTTATTAACACTGTGCAACTGCCTCGAGTATGCGTGACCATTTTAACACAACTTGGTGCGATCATCCCCCTTGCGCGGAGTGAGGGTTCTCCACCCCGCACGACATGATCTACTCGACCACCATTATGGTGACCGCCAAAAGAAAACTGAAGTAAAAAAAAACGGTAACCAGGTTGCCGAGTTCACGAAGTGAATTGGCTTGTTTTACAACGTCGTTGCCAAGAGACGAAAACCCAATCCCGATGGAAAACACCGAGGAAGGGGAGGGGGGAAATCATCGACAGTGTCTGAGGGCCTGCTTCAAAGTAAAATTTGCCACCTACGTAGCGGCCCTGCGAAAACTAAGTTTGGGGGGGCATCGGGGGTCAAAGACGCTGATTTGGTCGACGGGAAAAAACACGATGGGGATTTCTCTGCCCGGACAAGCAGTACTTAGACATTGGGTGCAGCAAACAACTACAAATTGAAATGATTTTTGCAGGATCACAGAACCCGACTTGGAATGCGCCCCTTTTGAACCGCCGTCATGAGCTAAACTCGTGTTGGTGTTACCCCTGACGGGACTGCATGTGGCACACTGGCCATGCGGCACCCACACGCATCGCCCACTGTTGCTGGGAAACAAGCTAAATTGCAGTGATTCTGTGAGTGTGTCAATTTTTCGCGCTGGTTGGGTTGCTGTGGAGATTGCTTCCCAAAATGTGCAATGTCAAAAGCCAACGGCCGGTTGTGTGCTGTGAGACAATCCAAACAAAGTAGAGCAAGCCTGAGGATAAGGCTTGGACCACTGGCACCGCCTGCTGATGCCTAGCTTCGTTTGTGTGCTGATATATTTTGTCAGAATCCCGTGTGGTGCCCACTGTCTATCGCTCTACCTGCTTGGTCACCAAGCCACCTCGCGGCAGCGATTCCACCGCATTTGGGTGTTGCTGAGCCTCGACTTGCATTTGGGTGTGGCAATATTACGTGAAACGACGCAAGCCCTTTTTGATCAAAAACCCAATTAGGTCCATCCAAATTGGGTGCTCAATTTAGGTGCAACTTGTGATCAAGTTGAACCAGGCCCTGATCCGCGTCTGATGGGTGGAGTCAGCCATGCAAATAGGTGATTATCACCCGGACTACCGCTTTCACCATTCCGAAAAGTGCGGCGTGCTACCGTGAATGATTCAGGCGACGATCGAATGAAGATGGAGGGTCTGGGCAAGCCTTACACCGCTGTGGATGCTGGAGATTCCAGCGACAACGAGGGAACTTCAGAGACTCGCAGCGATCGGTGCGGGGGAATTCGGGGTGGGGAGAAAAAAAACGGGCGGCGGGGGCGGCGGGGGCGGCGAGGGCGGCGGGGAGCAAAGGGCATGGAGGACGGCGATTCCAGCAACGAAGATCTTTCTTCTCTCGTGTTGGTGTGTGCGTTTCTAGTGTTGTTATGTGTTATGTTGCTGTTGTAGCAATCACGAAGTAGCTCGCATTGACGAATGGCTGTTCAGTAACGGTGGTGACAGATCTTGGCGGCGTTATTCGCACCCCACTGCCAGAACGACGAGCTGGGCCTTCTAAACGAAGACGACAGCATGGACGCGAACGACGATATTACACGGCATGAAGATCCCGGACGATTCCCCGTTCAGGCGTCTACGCACGCTGCTCTTGACAGTTCGTTGCTTCAACGTGGAGTACTGGTTAGGTTGGGCATGGGATGTTTTTGTTCGGCATCACACGTCAGTCTGTGCATCGCTCCCGCCACCAGGACGAGTACCGTGTCCAGCTCAAACAAACCCAGAGTACGTGCGAATCAAGCCATTACTGTTTAAAAAGCAGTGGAGACCACGATGCCGCGGGTTTGCTTGAGTACGACACGGCAAAGCAGATGGACGGCGCCACCATCGGAGCTGAAGCCGCCACGGGTATCAGTTTATCTGGGAGGGAACTACCCCCCATCGTCACACAAAAAGGCTGAGAGGTTGCACCATGATACCGTATCATTTTTGTTTAGCGCTGCTTGACATAGACTAATCGCGGAAACGAGGGTTTGCGTTCGGTCAAGGAGTCCTGTTGTCGTCAAACATCTCAGGATAGGGAAAACCTCTGTTGAAACACGTACGCGTATTGGGGTGCAATTGATGGTGATGATACCGCATCAGTTTTGTTTAGCGCTGCTTGACATACTCTGATCGCGGAAACGAGGGTTTGCGTTCGGTCAAGGAGTCCTGTTGTCGTCAAACATCTCAGGATAGGGAAAACCTCTGTTGAACCACGTACGCGTATTGGGGTGCACTTGATGGTGACGTTCATAATGTTTGCGCCGATGTGGAAAGCAGCAAGAGATAGGCACAAGAACTGGTAAAATGCAGGTGCTCGGTTTGGGGCAGCCAGTAAGCCGCAAGCCTTGAGCAAGATACGAGTGTCTTCAGCGCGAGCGACTTCTGTATGCGCAACCGCCAACACCGCCCATAAAAAACCTTCAAGGCGATACATTTTTTTTTGTTTTTCCCACTACTGGACTCTGTCGTCTGCCCCTCTGGCCCCTATCCTCCACTTCTACCAGCTAGACGACCCAACCGGGGTCACACTGGAGAGGGGGGTTGGACCCCCTTCTGAGGTTCCTGCCTGAGGTATTTTTATCGCGAGAAGGGTACAGCAATCCTTTCCCTCGCGACTTATGAAGTCGATCAAGTTTACTAACAGCGCGCTTTGCAGCGCATCGCTTCAAACGGAGACCAGGATTTAATTAGTGAGAAAAAACCCGCTCTGTCGGGACTCGAACCCATGACCTGGCCCTTAGCAGGCTGCGAGGTTACCCACTAGACCACCGGGGCGACCCGTGGTGTGTGTAGGTTCGGAGAAGGGACGGAGTGGCGAAACCCGACCCTTGGAGAGCATGCTACATACTGTTGTTGCTGGTCACCTGACTAGGCCCTGGACTATGCTTGCCGAAGGTTATTGATACCACAGCACCGACTCTGCAATGTACCAGTAGTATAGTTTCCGTTCTCCGCAGTACTCGAGTGTTCGGTACCATGCAGCACTGACGGGAGAGGCTCCCATGTGCTGTGCTACTAATAAACAATCATACCTTTTCATCTCAGTTCAAAGCAGAGACAAACCCGGTCATGCACGACAATTGCCGGCAACAAGTAAGTGGGGGGGTCAACCTCACCCGTAGGTACTACAACATCGGTGTATTGAGCTCTGAAGGGGTACAGCGGTTCAAGGTAACGTGCATGTACCATCTCCGTATCATACGCAGAGTAGACAACAAGACTATTCTGTAGTGCACCAGCAGTGGACGAATGCATACCTGCAAAAAATTGTAATGCTTTGTCAATTCCAAGGGCCTCGTTCACGCCGGCACCAAATGCTATTGCTCCGATGGTTGCCGCAGCTGTGGTGGCTATAGCAGCAACGTAGCGATCAGGATCCGCTCTCTCCACCATGGTTGTGGAAGCCCTTACGCTCTTCCCACGGCCGCCGTGTGCGCTGCTGCTGAGTCGTCCCACACCGAACCTCTCCCCTGATCGACGTCCATCGCCATACCTTCTAGGGCAGGTTACTGCCAATGGCCGGAAACCTCTCGCTAAGTGAAAGGCCGAGCAAAACTTGAGGGCCACGCATAACAGCAATACGACGGCCTTCATGTGTCAAACGCCGTGTGACCGTCACGTGGCAATTGCAGTGATGAGTGTCACACGACAAGACCAGTCAGCCGTTGGAGGCGTGTTGTCGGAGGGGGGGAGCGTATCATGTTCTTGAAAAAAAAAAATCAACCAAGTCGAACCGGGTGTGGGAATCGCAGCGCCCGGGCGTGTACCACGGTCGATGCTGGGGGTGTGTTACGGCCGTCGTCCCCACCGGTTCTCGAAATACGATGATGGATACTTTGCATGGTCGCGAGTATCCGGAGGGTGTAGGCTGACATGATCGGGAGACGTATCGGTTGGTCTGTCTGATTCCCGATCATGTCAGCGTACGCCCTCCGAATACTCGCGACCATCGCGTATTATACACGCCCGGGCGCTGCAGTTCCCACACCCGGTTCGACTCCATTACTTCCTATGTAGTTATGTAGCCCGCACAGACATGAACTAGTGACGGGGAATCCCGAGCTTGGACCAGGAGAAGGTGATATTGACAGGAGAAGATGATCTTGACTCTCTCATAGTTCCACGAGGGGGTGCAAAAAGTAAAAGTCCACCTAAGATTTCGCGCGGCCGTCCACTGCCAGTGCAACTTGCTAGTAGAAGATGGTGAAAGACAATCAAAGACAAATTCGGACTGAAAATATTCCGGAATACAGTGGAAAATTCCATAAACCCCAAAATGACCTTATGAATTTTAAAAGAGAGGTTTCGTCCCAGGTGCCTGATCGCAAACTTAGGCTTGTTCGAAAGCTATGGCCAGCAGCTTTCCAACGAACCCATTCGCGATTGCTTGTTCCACGGGTAAGGTCTTCAAATTCATCGAAAACAGCATATGCGGCGGGACTCCAAAATTGGCGTTACATCGGCCACATGCCGGAATTTTCAAAACAAGCATACGTCACCGTGATATCTCCGTAAAACGTGCCTCGGGCTATCCGATGATGATATTGGCGGGAAGAAAGGTTAGGACGAAAGCAGAGTTTTCTTTTCAAACGGCCAAAAAACGGAGATTCGCTGGCAAAGGTGGTTGCGCCCCAATTTTCAAATTTTGGGCCGTTGGATGGGTGGATCGTCTACACAGCGCCGCACCCTCAGCAGTGCTACGCGTGCTTGGGATCGCGTCCAGGGAGATTCATGGAGCTCACCACCGAGGACACAGCCCTTGTGATTTCGTCTTTGCCTGCTAGGGTAGAGTTCCACCGAGTGGATAAAGATAAACGCAAGAAGGGATACCGCGTTTAGGTGGTCACCAAAAATGAGGATGGGCTGACCGTGGTCTGGCAACGACTGATGAAGGCCAACTGCAGGAGCAGGAACCGTCCCGCAGAGACGGCGTTCTTCGAACAACTCACAGAGGATGGCTGGGTATCCAGGTTCTCGGAGAAACACGCTGCAGAAGAGGAAAGGGCGAAAAATAAGCGCAAGTCTTCCTTGCTGCCAGATGAAGATGGCTCCTTTCGTGGGCTGGAGCAGATCAAAAGGATCGCACGCGAGGCCGCCACAGCTGGTGTTGCGGCTCGCCGCGAAGCCGCACTGGTGGTGAGCGGCCAAGGCGGGAGCCGGGCGAATAGTGGCCGCCGCAAAGGGCATTGCGGCAAAGCGTTGACTGCAAGTTTGCGGGAACGTCTGCGGGCCAAGACCGGCAAATCTTCTTCAGAGATGAGCGCGAGACAGATCGAGCGTGTTTTGGGGATGTACGAAGATATGGATCGTGCGGCGCTCGAGGAGAGGGTGCGCACCTTGCGAGGAAAGGGGGGGCTCGACCACACGGGCGTGCAGGCGAAGGCCCGGGCTCAATTGGCGGCAGCTAAACGGCGAGACAGGGCCTCAGAGATCGAGGAAAAGCATCGAGAGTGGGCCGAGCTGTGCCTGTCACACGCCAAGGACGAGCTCAGCCGGTTGCAGCGGGGAGTGAAGGAAGATGAGCAAGAGGTAAGTGCAAAACAGTCCAACTTGAGGGCAGATGTCAAGGTAGTGCTGCGAATCCTGCATTTACGTGCTTTTGATTTGAGTGCACACCGCAGGCAGAGATGTACGTGCGTGATTGGACAGAGATTAGTTCAAATGTGTACGTTTATCCTTCGACCGATGGCAATGCATTAATTGTCTCTCGCCCGCCCTCCATGTCTCGGTCGATGTCTCCTGGTGTAGTTCGGTGAGAGACTTCAGTTCAAGGACGAAGCGTCGCAACACCAGCTCATGAAGGTGATGCACCAGATCCACGCGCTTAAGACCCTCTACCGGAAGCTTGTGGAGGGTGGAGACCGAGACGATTGCATCGAAGCAGCGGCTGATCATGTCCACGTCTCCGTGCATACTATCCAGGAATGGGATTCCGACTTCCGGACAAACGGCAGGCTGGAGGTGAATTGCCAGACGATTACATTGTAAACCTCACTGAGATGTCGGAGCAGCCGCGTACTTCGCATGACAGCGGTGGTAGTATAGTTCATACTGTAAGCGGATGGATTTTGACTTCGAAGCAATACTTTTTGGGGGGATTTTCGCGGGGACTCCGTCGATGTGTTCGAGTATTTCGTGGGGGGTATGGGTGTAGTTGAATATAGACGCGCGTGGGGTGCATGGGTTTCGGAGCAGTCGCGTGGCAGCGCACGTAGTTTTTAAGCGGATGGATATAGTACTGTACACGTGAAAGAAATATTTTTTTGGCGGGGTTTTCGGGGACTCCGCATGTGTATTTGGGTGTTTTGGGGGGGGTAGTCGAATGGCTAGCCATGATTAATATTTTTTAGGCACACCCTGTTGGTGTGCCGAACGAAAATGGCCATCCACATGCTTTTGGTGCCCCCAAACAAACCTAAAAAGGCTCTCCGCGACACAAAAGCATGCGTTCCGGACCATCCCCGCAACGGAAAAAAGCCTGGGTGGAAACCCCGAAAAATTAAAATATGCTCTGATTCATCTCAAATTTTATAAGCATGTTTAGAATTCAACAGGGATCACGAATATGGTTTCAGATTTTTTCAGTTCCAAATCAGTCGAAAGTTATCGACGTGCATCGTTTTTGGGTTTATGGAATTTTCAATTTTCCGCTACCGTACGGAACGAAACAAACGAAACAGATGTTGAATTAAAGCCACATCATCGCTCTGAGGAACGTTCCTGATTGTCTCGCTGGAACCCGTAAACAAGGATAAGTTTTTTCGCACCAACCGCGGAAGGAGCCTCGTTTTGTGGAAGAAAATTGCACTTTGTACTTCAATTCATTTTTCCGTGTAGCGAATTCTTCAGGCACCACCTACACATCATTTCATCGGTCAGTTAGCGAGGTCGATGCTAACAATGAAACACACACACGGGTGCTCGAAGAACAGTTGTATGTCCACGTGGTCAAAGAGAAACTCAGCGCCAGGCCCTGGTGGTGGCGCGACCAACATGAAGAGAGAGGGAAGCGGGCTTCACGGCCAGGAAGCCAAGTTGGGTTTGCGGCGTAGGTCACAGCATCATGCCCGTCACGTTGAGGCAACGGGGCGGGAGAAGATCGCCCGAACCGCGGAGACAACGTGTGCGGTTGGTACAGAGAGAGGTGGTGGCAGCCCGCCATCAGCAAAGAGCAGGAGGAAGGGCACGAAGTGGCCGCTCGGTTTCGACGTTCCCCGCGCAAATTGTACATGGATTTACTTCTTGGTTTTATGTCACACAACAAAACGCCATGCACCTTTCCGAACCAACAAAACTCTTTGACCATTTCACTTTTCCCTCCATGTCCCCCACAGCTGTAGTGCAGACGAGCCGGTCAACTCCCAAAGTCGGCGAATGTGAGTGGATGGATAAATTTAGAGACGCTCTATATCTCCAGGCTTGTCACTGATGGAGATTGCATTCGCTCCGGAAGTGTGTGTACTGCCTCCGTGTTTTCTTCCGTACTACCCCCCTCGCCCGTCTCTCCTTCGTTGCTCTACGGTAGGTAGTAGTATCGTCTGGAAACATCGTACCCTGTTCCGTGGTCATGGATAGTGCACGCCCTTTTTCGACAACCCGCCCAAAAGGTCAAAACCATTGTGTCTCTCTACTGCTGCTGTAGTTGTGGGGCTTTGAAACCGATTGCCTCGATCTTCTTCCTACTACAGCTCTCCCGGGTTGCCCAGTCACTTTTATTGCGACCTAACCAAAGTTTTGGCAAACTCGCATTTGCCCCCAAACATTTCGGGCCGTGTATCCGTCGGCATTTTGGACAACTTCGGCCACACCATTTATTTGCAGCAGGAGAGTGATTTGGCCGCCGCCGGACACAGCCAGCGGCACAGCTGGGACAGCTTTTACCGGCACGCCTGCGTGTGTGTTTCCACTTAAATGCGGCCTCCAAACCCATGTGGAAGTTTTATACTTCGTAGAACACATATATGCACACCCGTACACAGTTGTGCATTCGAAATATATTTAGTGTGCTTGGTCGTCGCAACCTATGCTACAGCAGTGCCGAGATATGCGTCCACAAGACTCACCAGCTATGATGTATCACAACCAGGCCGTCACGCCTGGGAAACTTCGTAGAGAAGTGCACCCGAATATGTTTTACTCCCACTGGTAGTCTACATTGATTGCGACCAATCACGTCGGGTACCCGCAATTCCTCGCCAGAAGGCACTTCGACAATATATGCTCTCAAACGTGTTCGCCCACAACAGATCACGTGAAATACAACCATAATAACCATACTCAAGTCTATACGTACACTCCAGACCAAAGCAACACAAACAACGCCCCAAATCCTAAAAACGCAGACGACGTCAACGCTAGTGGCAAATCTTTTGCGGCGCTCTGCTCCCTCCTAGCATTCATTTGCTGCATGAATGACACCGACATGAAGGTCAACCCCGCCATCACGAATACTGCCGCCAGGGGTCCGTAAAACTGCGGTGGGATTGGACTCGAATACGGAACCTGGACAAAAACATCAAAGGCGGGGTAGGTGTGGAAAGGCGGCGCGCGAAGCTAATTAGAGACATTTTTCTTGCGAAGCCTCAACTCTAGTGGAGCGCGGTCTACTTGCGCGCATAGGGAGCCCCATGTGCCCGTACTCCCTACACTATCCGTCGTCACCAACTGCGAGAGCAAGACAGAGAAGAGGGGGGGCGCGGGGGGGTGGGGGAGTAGTGGGTGATCGTGCATCTTTATCGCACACTTTTACTCACGGTGCGAGTTTGTCGTATGTATGCATGGTGATCTCCCGCGTGTTGTGAATATCACCAGCACGCGGTACTCAGCCACCGCAGGTTACTGGTGAACCCCACGCCGTTGGATAATGTGAGTACAGCATGCGCGCATGTACGCGTTTGCCTTGAGTGGGCCACTTCCATGTGATATTGACATAATCAGCAAAGCAGAATTGGCAACTGCCCAATACTTTTAGCAGTTCACCCGGGTTGGGGCGGCGCGGACTTCGGTGGTTCTCTTACCGATTTCGCTCGCCCTCGACAAGCCACAACAACAGAACATCGGTCTCCAAAAGAGTTGTTCAAGCCTGAAGCAGGATTTGCTTAGTTCCATACTAAGACGCAGTCTCACGTATCCGTTCTTGGGTGCTTCGTTTCAAGACCGGTGGGCAGCCAACGTGCCATATATGTATCAAGCGGTCTCGGACGGTACACGTGCGGTATTCATCGGCCCCGAACTCGTGATAGCGCAACAACAGACATACCATCGTGAAGGAGCAAACTCCGAGCCTAGGGTTTCGAGCGGTTCGTTTGCAGTGTTGTCAAACGGGATAACGCTGAATATTTGTGCCAGGGAGGACACATCTTCCGTACAAGCCTTGGAACAAGATGCCCAAAACCAAATCCAGCGACCAACTAATAAAGGCCCATTTTTCCACGAAAAATAAGAACATAAGGTTAAGAAACATGGCTCACGCTGGGTCACACAATAAGAAATGTCTCAACAACAAACAGCGGCGACCGCTGCCCTACTTCATAAGAAACGAGGGGTTACGGGGAGAGTGTGTCGAATAAGAAACACCCCACAGCTCCTTCGATCGTTTGCTCTTTCCCCCTCTCCGACTACCTCCCCCCTCCCAAGTGCGTTTTTAGGTATACAACGAGGGGGGAGTGTGTTTTTGTTGCGGCGCCCCCTTCGGCCCCCTGCCGGCTCTGGCGCTCTCTGGCGCTCCGGCCCTGGCACAGCACACCAGACAGGCTGCGAAGTACGATATGCTGTCTGCTGTACGGTTTTGATGGTGCTCTCCGCCAGCTCTCGTGTGCACAGAAAATAAGAAATTGCCGATTGTAGAAATTCAGCAGGATTTGGCGGCACGAATATAAGAAACTTTACATAAGAAGTGAAACGACATACGCTGAGTTTATAGCCCACAATAAGAAGCCGAGGCTGGACCTGAAATAAGCGTTTCTTATTTGCGGGCTCTGACTGTAGCAGGCCAGAGATACGCCGGCTGCGACAGGGTACGCAAACAACATGCAAAGTACGTTCATCACCCCCGCCGGCTTGACCAACACAACACTCTTCACGTCTGCCCACATTTTCCCGACTCTCGGGCGCGGAAAGGGTAATCGCGCAAGTCAAAGAAAGTATTATTGTTTTCGCGTTTAGACTATACCAGGTACCTGGTACACAAGTTGTGCATGTAACAGCAGTGAATGTGGGGCGGCAATGATGAGCCGCAAACTTGGACCAGAGCACACACTCGGGACAACATGTACAGGTTTGCCGATAACGACACCGGTGGTAGATACCTCGCAATACTGCACTCCCAACACATGTGTTTCTCGGGTTTAGGGTGGGTAGTACTGCTCTACTACCCGTGCTTCTGTTCTACCAAACTTACGTGTAATACAAGCACAAGCCCTGAGGCTGGATACATTCCAAATTTATACCATACGATTACTCCGCGCTAACGGATCTCCAAAAAAAAACTGCGGATCGCGGCTCACCTCCACCGTCATTGTTGTGTTGCTGGACTTGTTGTTGAAATCGGTACAAAGACGGGAACGAAAGGAGGAGGTAGAACGACAGGGATACAGAAATAACGAGCAAAGCAGTAGTGTGTGGAGTGGCTCGCGCCGTGGGTTCAGGGCAAGGCCGCTCTACGCTGTGGTGTGGTGGGCAGCGCAGCGACGCCGTAGAATGCGAAGCAACAAACAGTACCACCATTTTTCAATACCCAGCTCTTGTGCCCCGAGCCTTGCTTGCTTGCCCGCTCCCCGTTCACCCCGCCGTTTCCCCTCGGCATTTGCCAGTTGCCCCCTGGCGCTCCTGCTTCTGCTGCTCCTCGCTGCTCGCCCTTTCGCAGCACAGCAGGAACATCATGTCACAGCAGTATGTTGCCACAGCTAAGAAAGCGACAGCTGTCAGTAAGTCTCTGGTGTGCCATTTCACCGGGCCGGATGATTTGAACTTGGTGATCGCGAAAGGTGCACACCTCGAGATCCGAGCTATCACCGCGGAGGGCCTTCAGCACAGGCTCGACGTTCCGCTTTATGGCGCGATCGCAACCATGGAAGCATATCGCCTAACGGACGACAACTGCGAGCGTATTTTCGTCCTCACGGAGCGCTATCAGTTTTGTGTTCTCCAGTACGATGTAGCACGGCAGGTGAGATGAAAACGAGGTTGCATGTTGTGTGGTACTGCTGCTGCCCTGTGCATGGGTACAGCAGTACTTGTATTTTACGATTGGTATTTTGTGCCCCGCTGGGGTCAGAAGGGAGCTGGTGAACAACACGAGCGTATTGTGTGTGGTACCAGTTATTTCGTGTTTTATTGTATTCATCTGTGCTCATTCAAATCTATAATGTCGAATGTGGCGCCCAATTAGGCTGGACTTGTAAGTCTAGTACATAAAAAACCGTAATATTTGAACGTGTGAAGGACCAGAAGTTGGGTGTGAGCTCCTCTGAGAAGTCAGGGAATGCCTGCGATGTTTGGCGTGTCTTGTGTGTCCGGCACCCGAACTTCAGCCCTTCTGCACGAGTATGGTATCAACACCCGTATATTGCCGCAGCCACCCCTCGCAAGTCGTAGGTAGTGCCTGTCTACTCGGGTACACGGGGGCTGTGTTCGCGCGATGTAGGGGGAATGACTACATTAAATAGAATTAATCCGTCGCAGGTCTCTATGTCGGAGCACTCCGTGCGTATGAGGTGGGCCGTGCGCCGCTGCGTGGGATTTCGTATGTCAGATTGTCAGATTACGACACCTTGTGCACAGCAAGCGGGAGAATAGCCTTATATTTTGTCTGTCGATGACCACCTGTCTCATTCAGCACAGCTCTCATCTCACACACATGCCCGTGGCCGTGGTCTCGTGCAAGCCCGTACGTTGAAAGGCTGTACATTGCTGTCAGCGCTTAGAGGGGCGAAGTTAAAAACGCACCAACACCCAGCCAAAGTTGCTGCTATGAAACCAGGCTTTCTATGCATCGTACATGTATATACCAGTCGAAGGAAGCCTCGCGTTGACAGCTGCGACCTGCAGAAGCGCGTGACATCCCACTGAGGCTTGTCTTCCTTTCCTACATGTCTCGCTGTGGTGCCCACGGTAGATCTTTGTATTTCAGCATCTTTTACACGTTTGAGCATTGTCTTGTGTGCATTGTGAGCTGACAAGCCCTTTATAATGACAGAAGTCCAAACGGTCGTTGGCGCACACAAAAGGAGATGGCCATCCCAGCATGTGTATCTAGCGTAGATGCTCCCATGGTGTTCCGGGTGGTCTCTCTCGTGCGGGCTCGCTAGTGCCGGCGCCGCACTCCCGAGTAGCGTTGCGGAGTGTCATGTTGCGCACACTGCCAGCTCCGGGTGTCGATGCCCACGCCCCCCGCTCCAAGGCACCCAGTACGGTCGCAGTCTTCTAGGCCGTTGGGATTGTTTAATGCAGGGCAATCTTGGGTTTGAGGACCTTCGTCCTGAACCATGTTGTGTTTCCGATGTTTCCGCCTCGGTGAACTCTCCACAGGAAATCCGCACGAGAAGCAGCGGCTCGGTGAAGGATCGCATCGGTCGCGCCATTGACAACAGCAAGATTGGCGTCATTGATCCGCAGAGCCGCATGATTGGTCTTCACCTGTATGAAGGTTACTTCAAGGTCATTCCAATGGATACCAAGGGGCAGCTGAAGGACGCTTTCAACATCCGGCTGGAAGAACTGGAGGTGCTAGACATCCAATTTCTCTCCGGATGTCCCAAGGCTACGATCGCAGTGCTGTACCAGGATCAGCGCAATGCCCGCCACATCAAAACGTACACGATCAGCACGCGTGACAAGGAATTTGACACCGGACCTTGGGCGCAGTTGAACGTAGAACACAACGCCAGCGAACTCATCCCTGTCCCCGCGCCCTTTGGCGGGGTTGTTATTCTTGGACACCAGACAATCTGTTACCACAGCGGGAAGGCTTTCATCACCATTCCGATTCAGAACACAAGGATGTGCGCGTACGGGTGGGTTGACGCAGATGGATCGCGCCTACTTGTCAGTGATCACTCTGGAGGCCTGCACGTCGTCATTCTCACGCCCGATGCGACGAGTACTGCCGTGGAGACAGCTCACATCGAGGCACTTGGGGAGACGAGTTGTGCCTCTAGCATTTCCTACCTGGACAACGGTGTGGTGTTCATCGGAAGTGCTTTCGGAGACAGCCAGCTAATCAAGCTTAACCCAGAAAAGGATGCGCAAGGCACCTACATCCAAGTGCTGGAAACCTACGACAACCTTGGGCCCATATTGGACATGTGTGTCGCAGACCTGGACCGGCAGGGACAGGGACAGGCTGTTACGTGCAGCGGCTGCAGCAAGGACGGGTCGTTACGAATCATTCGCAATGGCATCGGGATCAACGAGCACGCTGCCATAGAACTTGCCGGTATCAAGGGGATGTGGTCTCTTCGCCCGTCGAACACAAATCACGACAAGTACCTGGTCCAAGCATTTATCAGCGAGACTCGTGTGTTGGCCTTTGAGGAGGATGAAGACGGTGACCACCAGCTCGCAGAAGGAGAAATCGCGGGGTTTCAAGAAGGCTGCTCGCTGTTCTGCGGTTGCGTCAGTGGGAACATGGCTGTTCAAGTAACCAAGAGGGGTGTCGTCCTCATCTGTTGTGATGGTCTCCAAGAAATCGACCGGTGGGACCCGCCAACCGATCTCAACATTACAGTGGCTTCTGGTAACGCAACAAGAGTCGTGCTTGCGCTCGGTGGTGGCAACCTGGTGCATCTGGAGGTAGATGCGACAGCCAAGAAGGTCAGTTTAACTTACCACAGCTTTGATAGGTGCGGGTTTATTTTGTTCGAAGCAAGCTCAAGGCAGCGCTATTGTTACTCCGTCTACTGTATGTGGCCCGCAAGATATGTGCACCTCTTGACATGAGCACGTTTGCGTTGCGTCCCCGACTGAAGCCACTGCCGCTGTTGCCACCTCCTCCACTCCCACCCCCTCCCACGACTGCATCATCTCACAGCTAGTGCAAAAGGCGCGCGTTCAGCTTGACAACGAAATTGCGTGCATCAGCCTCAATCCCCCAAGCAACCAACCGGTCTCGAACGCTGACCCAGCGACAGCGGCAATGGAGTGTGACGAGGAGAGCAAGTTGGATTCGCTTGTGGCTGTGGGGATGTGGACAGATATGACGGTAAGATTTTCAATACATCAGCTTTTTTTAAGTTGGGACTCATAAGCAATGTCGCGATGACCAAACTCGATAACTTGTTACGCGCAGCACGATCGTCACTTGTTGTGAAGCATTCAGCATTTTTCGTAGCTTGTGAGGCTTTTGAAACACAAATGGTGGTCGATCATGTCTCCGACCCAGTTTTTGTTGCTGACGCTCCTGTCTTTCAGGTGCGACTATTGTCCCTACCGGACCTTCAGGGAGTGTCATCCCAGCCTCTTGGAGGTGATACTCAGGTAGGCACACATGTGTCGACGCGGGCCCTAGCTCGACAAGCGTAAATTGTAGCCTATCATATCCTCGTTAGTTATTTTTTAATGTAGAACCTGTTGTATGGAGCACATCCGCCTTTCCCCCATTGTTTGGAACGCACCTATTCGATATGCACGACGATCGAGGCATGTTTTGCGGAACTTCATGGCCGGCAAGGTTGATCCAGTCCAGCGTTTCACAACGTACAGGCTGGCTGCCCAGAGCGCGGCTACCTACGCGCATTGCCAGATGAAATTTTGCCCATCTCTTGACTTGCGAAACTTGCCTTGCGCCACATGTTTTGCACCCACAGGCCCGCTCTGTGATTCTGGCTACCATTGCTGATGTACACTACCTTTTCGTCGGCTTGGGTGATGGCCATGTAGTTTCGTTCCCCCTCGAGGTGACTGCCGAGTCAACGCTGGCATTGGGGACGCCAAAGAAGGTGGCCCTGGGAACTCAGCCAGTAGGACTTGCCTGTTTCCGCAACAACGGAATGGTGTGTGTCTTTGTCGCCAGCGACCGCCCTGCGGTCATCTACTGCAGCGGAGGCAAGCTCCTGTACGCCAACGTCAACATGGGCGAGGTGAGGATAAGTGGCCGTTGCTCTCGCCCTTTCTTGCGCCGCGAAAACACTCTTTTCGTTTTCGTGCATGCTGATCATGAATTCAATTTCCCGTTGTAGTCCAAAACATGCCCGTTTGTTGACTGTTTTTTTTCTGGCAGGTCAACTCCGTTTGCTCTTTCGACTCCAGTGAGCTCCCCCACTGCTTGGCATTGGCGAGTGAAAATAGCTTGACCATCGGCACCATCGATGACATCCAGAAGCTTCATATCCAGGTGAGAACCCCTCATCAGACCGTTAAACACCGAACGAAGTGTCGCTCAGGTCGGCCTGAGCTGCTCTCGACGTGAATTACAAAGAATTGGGGGGGGGCGTGGTTTGCGTTTCGAGCACCGATGTTTACAACATTGCCGTCCATGTTATTGAGAGGGAGAGGATTTAATTGAACTGCTGTTCCAGACTTACACGCAATCAATCAGCTTCGAAAGGTGGTCAAGACTGTTTTCATCTGCTCACGGGCCCTTCTTTGTACAGAAAGTCAGCCTTGGAGAAGCACCGCAGCGTATAACCCACCACGATTCGGGCCGGATGTTTGGTATCATCACCACCAGCTACCGTGCGGTGGAGAACAGGTACGCAAACGCGCCACCAATGTCTTGTCGCCCACTTGTTACCCTGGAGCCAAATCATTCCGTCACTTGTGTTGGATGGAGGAAACCGCTTCTTCTCGTTTGAAGGCCTGTCGTCGATTTGTACAGGCTGCCGCATTGCACGGTAATGTCAACGTGCTGCTGTTCGATAATAGTAATTTAATGCGCCGCGTTTCGCGCCTCTTGACCTTGCTTTAGCGACGAGGAGGAAGAGCACAACTTCGTCAAGTTTTTGGATGACACGAACTTCGAAGAGCTGTACTGCCATCCCCTCGACGCATTCGAGGTAGGGCACAGAGTTGCTATTCACCGACCATGCTGAAGATTCGCTACTGTACTGCAACCATGGTCGAACCTGGCATGTTTTGGTGAACCGACCATGCTGAAGGAATGCACCAGTAATGACAGTAAACACGTGAGGCAGCTTGGAGCAAAGGCACACCACCGTCATTTCTTTTGCAATATGTGATGAACTGGCATGTTTGCTGTGTTCTGCAACCTCAAGGGGTTGCTACAGCAGGTTGCTGCTACGCTGCATAGTTTCCTTCCTCTTATATCAATGATATTGGCGACATCGCGCTCGTTTTGACGTTGGTGCGCGCTGCTCTTTCGCCAGAATGGATCCTCAATGGTGTCCTGCGTATTCGCAAATGACAAGAAGGAATACTTGGTGGTGGGCACTGGGTATGTCCGGGAAGATGTGAGCAAATTTTTCATGAGGGAGTTTCCTCTCTTTGTGCAACATTCTGAGTAGCTTGTGGCCATGGCAATACGTTTTTTGCTTTCATTGGTATTCGTCTAGATAGAGATCAGACCGATTTGTTTTGTAAAGGTAGCACAGCATGGTGCCGTTATTCGGGTGGTTGGTAACTCTGTCGAATGTACTCGTCTCGTTGTCCAACGTACCGCACAGTAGTTGGTGAAGGAGATGCTGTTATCATGTTGCGACCGTACCCTTTTTGCCAAGTTGCCATGCTGAGCCGCTCCTCCGTACCCGGCATGATGATAGCTGCTGCTCACCGACACGTTACTGCGGGTCAGGAATTTGAGCCTGCGGTCGGGCGATTGCTAGTCTTTAGCGTGGAAGGCCAAGGTGCGGAACGCAAAGTGGATCTTGCGGCAGAAGTGGAAACACGGGGGGCTGTGTACGTGCTCAACGGTTTCAACGGCAAACTCCTCGCATGCATCAACAGCAAGGTGATGCGTTGCTTTTATCTTGCCACTGTTTTGTGCCACGCTCTCCCCTAAGTAGGCATTTCCAAGGCAGTCTATTTTTAGATTCATGTGATTTCTGTTGGCAGCCCACACCACTATGTCGAGGTAGGTCAGGCGCAACACACCCGTCCGCATTTGTTGCCGACGATATTCCGTCAAGCTTGTGACTCGTGACTCTTCAAAATGCGCACATGTACTGCCCTTTCGTTCATCCAGGTGCAACTTTTCCGATGGATTGAAAAGGATGATGGGATCCAGGAGCTCCAGACCGAGTGCGGGTATCACGGGCACATCCTGGCGCTGCACATGCAGGTGAAACTCTTTTTTTCTGTCTTCGGCACTCGGCCCTGACCACATTGCACCACTCAAAGTGTCTTGCACCTTTCTTGGTCTTGTCCGCCATTTTTCGGCCCGTTGAAATGACCTGCTTGGGAGCACACTGACGGATAGCCGGTATCGTTTGGCGCAAGGGGGTTCGGCGAGCGCTTTCAGTGCCGCCCTCGTTATATTTTTGCGCGCACACAAGCGGGTGTGCTCGCACTTGCCGTGTTACCACTATGAGTATGGAAGTGGAGGAACCAACGCTCTCCCATGCGATCCCAATCCTGACTAACCCTACTGCATTCACTATATCTGTAGACGTACAGTATGCAGGGCTCAATACACCACTAGAGCATTCGCTCGCGTTGTCAGTTTTATTCATCATATGTGTTTTCGGTGACCGGCTGAAACTGTCGCCACTGTTGCTTTTTTTCTATGACACTAGCGCAAACTCTTGCCGCTGAGTATTTGTTTTTAACCAGTCGACTGCCCGTTGAAATGGTTGCAGTATATTCCCAAACTACTGTAGTATGCCAACTCGTAGATTCCCATGCAACACAAAAAAGTTCGGTGGGCGCCCGTTACTTGTACATCCTGCTTGTGCGCTTCCAACACATCTCTACCGCTACCACTCGTATCGGCAGAGCCGGGGTGACTTCATCATCGTTGGAGACCTCATGCGTTCCATGAGTCTACTCGTCTACAAGGCAGTCGATGGTGCTATCGAGGTGGGTGCTGCGTGTGACTTCTTGCCTTCATGCCAGAATGGTGCAGTCGAAGATGTGTAGTCGGAACACTTTTCTTCTCGAAGTGTAGCACCATCGCCTGCGATACGTCACACACGACAACGCCCACGCTCTGGGATACACTGCCCCACAGGAAGTTGCTAGGGACTACCACGCAAACTGGATGACGGCGGTCGAGATGCTGAACGACGACGTGTACATCGGCGGAGAAGCCGACTGCAACATCTTCACTTTGCGAAGAAATGCAGGCAAGTAGGTAGTTTATGTTCGCTTGAAGAAAGTGGTACTCCTGGGAATCTGTTAATGTGAACCCCTTGAATAGAAGCAAGAAGTTGACCCCCTCCCTCACGCGTCATGTCTTCTCAGACGCTGCAACCGAAGAAGAAAGGGCTCGGCTGGAGATCCAGGGCGAGTTCCATCTCGGCGAGTTCGTGAACAAGTTTTGCCAGGGATCTCTTCTCATGCAGGTAAACACGATGTTCCTAATAGTGCACGCCTATGCCGTTCTTTCAATGTGGGACCTCTATAGAGTATTACAAGTAGCAAGAAGTCGGACATCGGCGTTCGTTGTGGCTTGGAAGTGCTCGTGGTTTTTCAAACCACTCGTCGATCGCCCTTGTCTCTAACGGTGTTCTCCTGCGTTGTATTTTGACCTCTCCGCGACCACTACTTCCCACAGTCTTCCGAGGTAAACAGTTCAGGTGGGATGGACAGTCCACTCGTAAAGGGACAACCGCTACTTTTTGGGACTGTCAATGGCATGGTGGGAACAATCCTCACGTTGACGGAGGACAATCACCGGTTTTTGGCTCAATTACAAACTGCGATGACCAAGGTCGTGAAGGGGGTCGGAGGCTTCAGTCACGATGAATGGCGATCATTCACCAACGGGCGCCGGACGTCCCCGTCTTCGAATTTCATCGATGGAGATCTGGTTGAATCTTACCTCGACATGCCTCGTCACAACCAAGAAGAGGTGTTGAGGCACGTCGACACGCCAGTGGGAGATGAGCAGTGGGCCGTGGAGGATGTAGTCGTCAGGGTCGAAGAAATGCAGCGGTTGCACTAGGAAAAGTAGAGTTGGCACGCATGACTTTGTTGTATATATTGGGCTCATCGCGCTTCGCCGGATTTTACGGCGGCACGGTGGGCTGGATCTTGTACGATGAGGACGAGTGGTTTCGATGTATTCTTGTGAAAGCATGATGGAAGCAGACACTCCTCCCCAATTGATTTGCCAGCAAGCGAAAGGCATCACACAGAGAGCAAAAACGCGACTGCATGGAGCGAAGAGGATTCTCCTATCGTTCAACATCAGGTGTCGCTGATTGTTGCTGCCCAAAAATTGGGTGTAACGTCGCCGAGGTCAGGACGTTACATTGAAACGTCCTCCGCCCTCGCTATCTCGCACGTCGTCATTGAGTTCTGCGTGTCGCACGCGGCCGAATCTTAGACACGGGAACAGATACCGTAATCGCAAGCTCTACAGCGGCCTATTTAGGCGCCATCTAAATAGCCCCCGTACTACATCGCTCGCGAGGGTGGACCGCTGACGCAAAATCGAAACCTAAATACCAAAAATCTGCCACATGCAACCGTTCTCGTTTCGACGTAACCACAGCCAACGAACCGTCTTGACCCTGCCGCTTGACTGGGCCTGACGTCTTGGTCCGCGGTCCATGTTTCCACCATCAAAGCACAGCTACGACTGCACGCAGACGACAAGGTGAAAGCAGGTGGCTATCGCTAGCTGATGAGACCGAGCACCCAAACGTCATATACATGAGGTGTGAGGCTCTGGTTAACCGTCGACCCACATTTATTGGCTTCATATATGGTGAAATGCATAGATTTTTCACTTTCGGTGCTACAACACCGCGGGTCATGGATTCGGAGTCTACACGGTATGCATAGGACACAACTAAATTTCCTAACGCACTCTCTGCTCCAAAATGCTAAAGAACCCACACCTTTTTTTGAATAATAACTCGTGGATACAAGTTGTAGCCTTACCTTCTACGAGCATTGCACGTCTTGCTTAGTCTAGGTCCTGGGTTTGCATTGCGTGGAAGGAAGCCTTGAAAAGTGTAGTTTGTCGGGAGAATACCTGAAGGTCGGAAGCGTCGAGAGGCCGACAGGTTGGTGCTGCTTTGTAAAGTCCCAGGTCGCCAGGGTGGTAGACTTATGCCGTTTTACTCTTCAGCTGTAGGTTTTACACACACACTTGGGTCGCCTGTGGGATGCACGTGGAAACACATTCGTTTTTCCCCAGAAATCAAATAGCATAGTCTAGATAGTTGGGAGGAGCCCCGCTAAAAAGCCCCCGCCTATCCATGAATTATCGAAGTGGAGGTTTCGTGCCGTATGCATATGCATACGACAGACATGATGAATTGAATCTTGGCGAACAACCCCATGGTGAACGGAGGGTGGAGAAAGAGACGAACCCACACGGTCGGTGGTGATGAAATTGTGAAAATTTGAGCCAGGGACCGACATTGAAATCAAATGTAAACGCGTTGATGAGGATACACCACAGCATATATATCCGAGTTACTAATCCGAGTACTTGATACCAGGTACCAACAAAAGCCAAATCGCACCGCAGGCTTGGAATTTTCCTCAAGAAATATTGTTGGATATTACGCTTTGTTCATTAAGGTAGATAACGCTGCTTCGCATTGTCTTGGGAAAAATAGTTCCACTCACAGAAGGACCACCCGTTCGAGATATACCCGCAATATGTATTCTACCGCTTGTGGTGACCACCTTCATAAAGGTGGAAACTCCCCAACGCCTGTCGAGGACGAAACCCTCTTTTCCACAATGGCGTCGACGAAGAGATGTCAGCGTGTCTGCTTTTGGTTGCAAAAGACACGGGTTCAAAACTCGCTGCTCACCTAATTTTCTTCCGGAGTACGGAAAAAAGAAAAACGGTGGGTGGGCCAAGAAACGATGCACTGTCTATCGAACTCGAAACTTCTCGCAATGCGTGGCGGAAGTGGCGCACCCGCACCACGCACAGAGGATTGTTGGAAAAAATGTGGTTCTGCTCGCCGCCAGCCGGTCGGGTTCCGGTTACCCCAAGAAGTCTTCTCTTGCCTAGCAAACAAGAAGAAGCCTCGAAAAAGGGGGGGGTAATGTGGTGACCACCTCCATAAAGGTTGAAACTCCCCAACGTCTGTTGAGGACGAAACCCTCTTTTCCACACGCTTCTACAATACTTGACACACATTTTCCATGTACTAGTCTAGTCTACCCCAAAAAAAAATTGCGTTCGTGAAACGAGATGGCTTGAATGAGAGAACATCAACCCATCCGGTGCCTGAGACTTTATGACGTGGATACAAAGTACGATGGCATCTTTCGCCTATGCATATGAATGCGTATGTATACCGCAAACTGGATATATGAAGCACACACACACTGACTCTTGCCCTGCTGTACAGCAGTAGTAGTAGGGCTGCAGCCGCAACACAACGAAAGAAAGGGCACCGGATGCACTTCATGAAAAGCCGTGGGGTGGGTCCTACTCGCACCCTGTGTCCCATGGTATCTAGGAAACGTGGTGATTTGGCCACCTTCACTCTCTAACTTCTGTGCAGCTGTCAGTGCTGCCGCTGCGTGTCCAGAGTCCAGAGTCCAGAGGGCAAGGGCGAGCGGCCAGATTTAAATTTTGAATTGTCCGGAGTTTCGCCGCCTCTTTTGGAGGGGTTTCCATTGGGGTCCAGTTCCCGTTGGAGGCCTTTATCAAAATACCTTTTTTTTTTTGGGGCTTGCCGTAGGGCGCTGCCTACGCTTGGCAGAGGCCTGGTTAGCGACTACCAACACTGGTGGAGCATCATGGTGAGTCCTTCGTGTTGCTGTATTCACGTTCAGACAATGTGAGTGCGAAGAACTCCTTGTCGCCGGTGTTCGAAGGCTAAACCCGTGCGCCAAGTTCCGTCTCGAACGCTTACCTCCACCACTGCTCGTCCGCCACAAACCAGTCGAGGCTGTGCCGCTCTTTGCGGTTCGGTGATGCTCATGCCAAACTCCATCTGCAATCGGCATTCTGTCTGAACGATGTGTTTGTACGTTGCTCGCGCAGGGTGTTCGCACGAAGACCGTCAAGAAGTCGGCGCGAGCCATCATCGAGAAGTACTACTCTCGTCTGACGATGGACTTCCACACAAACAAGCGCGTTTGCGACGAGGTGGCGATCATCCCGTCCAAGCGGATGCGGAACAAGATTGCCGGCTTTGTGACCCATCTCATGAAGCGTATCCAGAGGGGGCCTGTGAGAGGTATTTCGCTGAAGCTGCAGGAGGAGGAGCGTGAGAGGCGTATGGACTTCGTGCCCGAGGTATGACATGGCAACGTATAATACCAGAAAAAGTGTCACAAACAAATGCTATCCAGGTCCATCGAATAAGACCCATGTCCATACAAAGTGTGCTTTGCATAACCACGTGAACGGGATGCAAATGTACGTAGCGGGAGTATCAGTTTCTCCCCTCGAACGGGGCCAACCGCCAGTGGTTCCCCTTCTATTGCTTCTTCGTTGGGGGAAGTGATTGTCAGCAGGCCGACTCGGTTGGTACAAAATTACTACCAAAAATAGTAGATTGCGGTACACTCGCTGTACTGGTACCGTACTTGGCACACATACCTAGTTGGGTTTATAGGCCAAGAGACGAAACAGCGGGCTGTCCTGCTCGGCGCTTCCGCTGCCGTCCTCCGTTTCTTTCTCGATCGTAAATAACGAGTGCTGGATGTTTTTGGCGCGGACGTGGTCGAACAACGAAAACGTCGACGGGAGTTTGTCGGGCATGCCATGAGTAGGAGCGGCGGCAACTCCAACAGCAAATCCGAAATCTCATCAGTCCATCTTCGCCAGAGTACGTAAACTTGATGCCACAATTTGCTTGCTACAAGCCATCCGCTCATCCGATAGAGTAAGGATTGTGATATACATGAGTTGTACATTGCCAATCACTCTCATGCCTGGCGTTGAAAGCGGCAAGCTACAAACTTCCTTATGTATTGATACATGGCGCTTCGAAGATGGCGTTGGAAATGCCGCCAAGTTTCGTTTGGAAGGACGCCGTTGTTACAATTGACGGCATCGTGTCGAAAGGTCAGCTGCGCGTCGAACAATGCTTGTGATAGCCCGTTAGTTTTGGGTGCCTCAAGTCGACGGCATACTCCGTGAGGTTCATTTTGCAACGTACATGTAGCCCACGATGCACCGTCACGTGGATTCCACAAGACTAGCGATTACCCAAATATTCCGCCGCCTCCTGACCAGTTATGGCAGACATGCAACGCGTTCTCGGTGAACCCGTGGTGAATGTGAACGGGACCAAGAAAAGAAGAACAACGGTTTTCTGTCACTTCAGAGAACGGTGGAACTGCGCGTGATGTGTCCAACTAATGAATTTCACTACGCAAACCAAGTTCATGGTGTTGCCTGCCGAAAATGGCCCGTTATCTTCACCGAATCGGACTCACAAAGCTCTTCGGACCACCTCGTTTGCGGGAAGCATGCAACGTGTGGCAAGAATCTAGTTGCTCATTCGGTGGTTGATACCTGTCGGCCTAACCACGATTTGATGGAGCCAGGCTTTCCGCGTCTCTCGTTGTTGGCACGAAATGCGGCGGAAACCTTTCGGTTTCGGTTTCTAGATACAATATTGCTCTGTTGAACCTTGACCTTTGACGATGATGGATGTGGCTGCAGACAACTAGGGGCATGTACAGTGCATATAGAGGATAAAGGTCAAATCAACGAGCTTATTTTTGAATTGAATGAGGTTCTGTGGAACTGCCCTCCAGGTTGCCCAACCCGGGTTGCACATTAGCGCAGCAGCAAAAGGTGTTATTGCAGGGATACGTTCGCGAATGCAAATTCGTTGTGATTTCAGTGCTGTACGATGGTTATGGCTTGTTGCCCGGTGGTTAGGATTAGATTTGTTTGGCAGTGCACGTGAAGCTCTCGTGTGCTTGATTCTCCTGCTCCGACAGCTGATCACGGCCCTTAGCTACACATCAATCAACTGATCGAATCGTCCGTCCACTCAGTGCTGCCGAGCGGGAGAGGAGAGGAAGCCGCCGTGAATATTGCTATGTACAAGTATATACTGTAGTTGATGCGGCAACAGCTCCTTGTTGGAATCCATTGCGTGTATTCTGGGGCGGCAGTCGTAGTTTCTAGATAGATGAAACACGTTCAAGTTCGGAACGAGTTCCTGGACCAACGGGTTTTCGCCGCCGTTTCCCTTCGCTCCATGACTCGATTACCAGGTCTCGGCCATCGAGCAGGAGTCCATCGACATCGACCCGGACACGAAGGACCTGCTGGACGCGCTTGACTTCAAGGACTTGGCGGGCATCGCTGTGTCCGATGTGCCCCCTCGTGTTTGATTTTTCGCCGTTTTGGAATGTTAAAAACTAAGCCTCGGGACATCAACAGCTCGGGTGTTTTTTTTCCTTCTTGAGTGCATGCACTCTTCGCCATCGCCTCTCGTTTGTTTGGTTCATGAAGAAAGCTTCACGCCAGTGGCTGCTGCTGGTCAGACCTGGATGACCCATGCAGTTTATTCGCCGATTGTAGGCCACTGGTGTTTAAGAATGGGTGGACTTGATGTATCAGCAAGAACTTGAACGGTGGTTTGGCGGCTGAGAAGCCTTGCAAGGCCTAACTTCCACAGCTAGGTAATAAAAACAATCGAGCCAATCTGTTTCATTTCTTGTGGCATGGCAACGGATTATGACCGAAGTCCTAGACACAGGACGCAACATGCCCACCCCCCCATGTTTGGTCGCGGCGGCGTAGCCTGTGAAAGCGTGTGTGCTCGGACCCCATGACGATCTTTGTTTGGCAAAGCCCGCCAGTACAGATGTCTTAAGTGTCAAGCAGCTGATTGAATAGAAGCGCAGGTGCTCAATCTCTTCACTCATGGCGCACGCTGCCGACCGGCCGGTATCAATGTAGTCTCAATCCCTAACGTGGGGGCAGGTGGAGCCCCTCTTGCCGTTGCTGCAACTTACGCAAACCAGAGGTAAGCTCTTGTTCGGAGCTACCAAAAACTCGAAAAGCAAAATAGAAGACTTGTTCCGAATCGCACAAGCTCCTCTTAATTGCAGATGGCCGAAGGAGCTAGGCAATTGTGCACCAAAACAAGGGTGACGCATGACTGCAATTGTTGCCGAGAAACACGGTGCAAATTCTGTGTGTATCCGTAAGACTGTACGATTCGGCCCTGATGGTCGCTCACTATTGTTAACCCTCGCTTAGATGTTTGAAAGTGGGTAGAGGGTTCCATTGTCTTCCTGTGGATGAAACTCGAAGCACTCTCAACTTCTCGAGGGAGTGCATGGCGTGGATGTATTACGAAGTCCGTCGTATTGCTCGGTTAAGCGAGGTGGCTTCAGGCGCCGAAACCCACACGCGTTTGTAGAATGAGAAAGAGTTACAGCACTTTCGAAACGCCATCTCTGTGCTGAAGTCATCGTCAGTACAAAACGTCCTCGAGAAGCCAACTTGCTGCAGTTTTCTCGAGTTTCATTACGGCAAGCAACGATTTAGGGGGAGTTCCTTGGTGGGAGATGTCTTGACTCCCAACGCTTAAAAGTTGCTCACGCACCTACACCGATCTGCAGGTAATTCTCCGACGCACAAATCGGATCAAAATTTTAGCCACGGAGAGAACGGACAATACCGGCTAGCAAGTGACCGTGGTCCTCCACCGGTCCGGCCGCCTGCACCAGCTGTGCAAAGACTACCATGCGCGTCAACAACACTTCCTAGCCGTGGGTCCCACGGATGGAAAAAAACAGACTCCTCACCAGAAACATGAAACACGAACAAACGCAAAGAAAGATATACTTCTAGTCTACAAAGCACGGGAGGTACGGGGCACGAGACCCAAGATGAAAGATGATTAGACAACACATTAAGGACTCATCACTGCTGCAAAAAACAATATTCACCAACAAATTTTGCTCGTACTTTGCTAGTTTTCATGTATTATCAACCGTCTTAATTCATGGTACACAAGACACAACAAATTCGATCACAAGTAAACACAGAAAAGGGCAGACACTCGATGAGAGGCTAAGTTCTAGGTGATGGGTGTGTTCTAAAACAAATTCTGACGACTCCAGGCGGTCACACGTAAAAAATAAGTGCCTTCGAACATGTATCGCGAACGCTAGCCCAGTACTGTCCCACCAGGTTCCTCGCCCCTTGGCTTAGGAGCAACATAATACATGACTGCATTCCACGTGCAAGTACGTGGCATAGGAGAAATATTGAGTTGGCGATTGAAGTCAACAGCCACCGAGACAGCCAAAAGATCGAAACCATAGAACTAGGTGCAGCGCTGCTTCATTAGACTACGACAGTACCTCCCGCCTGCAATCGTCTGCATGACAGATCAAGACTCGTTAACACTTTCCCCTCATGGGCACCCCTCGCGCGAAGTGTCGCCTACCTCGCGTTCCAATGCCTGTTGCGGTCGTACTGGCGCCTGGAGTAGCTGAGAAGAATCCGTCGCTTCTTTTCGGTGATATCCTTCCGGCAATACCCCATTGCGCGAAACACTACCATCAAGCTTGCCGTTGTGCGTCATGTGTGCTGACCCCAAACCCACATCATATGTGCCGAACCCGCGCAGCACATCAAACTCGTTTAGTTGCCCCCTCCTCCCCCACACTTGACGGCCACCGGAAAATCCCGCCCCCACATTGGCTTGCTCCTCTAGAGACAAACTCAGCAATGTGTTTGCGAGCGCGAGTTCATCGTCAACGTTGAAGGCCATCTCGGTTTCCGACAACGGTTGCGGCTGACCGTTCTGTGCGGGTGATTGGAGCGACCCAGCGGAGGCCTCAGCAAAAGCTGTCTCTGTCACCGCACCCGGTGCAATGCTCACACCACTCGCGCCGCTCGTGCCGCTTGGACATTCACGAACGCTATAATCAGGCCCTGTTGCCGCAACAATGCTTGGTGCAGCCATAGAGACCGGAAACGGCTGCTGGCTGAGGCCCTCCGCTGTAAGGGGTACAGGTGGTGGCATCGAGAACACAGGCTGAAGCAAAAAAGGCTGTCCATACATCTGCTGGGCAAGTGCCATCCGCCCGTATAGACGTGCGTGTAATTCTTGTAGACCGTTTGAGCCAGGGAATCGCGAAGATTCCAGCAATGGAATTTGTTGACTGGGCCACTGTTGCTGCACAGGCATTCCATGCAACGGGTAGATAGGCATAATCCCAGGACAATGTTGTAACAAACAAGTAGGGCTTCTTGGCATATCCATGATAGGTATTGTTGTCCCCATCATCGGCGCCGCAGCCGGGGTAAGCTGCGGGTTCATGTGACGAGCCGAGGGCATCATGACGTACTGCATCTGCCCCCCTGTCCGTGCCTCAGACGGCATCGCTACCTGCGCAGGGAAATCAACGGAGCAAGGAGAATACATCACATGATAAGCAGGATACTTGTACAGAATATTCCCGCAGCTGAAAATATGTTCAACAACTTCCCTGCACCAGCCACATACAACCTCGGCTGTCACTGACGACAAGACGATGGGAGCGTCTTGCGTTTCGACACATATTTTAAGCGAGTAGCATGCCGCTCGTCAGCCTAAACAGCCCGAGGTAGCGAGAATACGGAAACAAGCAACGCGCACACATGCAGCACGCTGTGGCGCCTCACACCACGTTGAGTACAAGGATAATGCATATAGAGGATAACGGTCAACTCGGCGAGCTCGTGATTGAATTGAAGGGGGTTTCGTGGAACTGTCCCCCGGGGTGCTGAACAGCTACATGTACCCAGTTACACATTGGCGCAGCAACGTGATATTGCAGGGGAACGTCCGCGAATGCAAAATCGTTAAGGTTTCAACCGTATCGGCAATACAAAATGGAGGACTTACATTCCTCCATTCCGAAACTCTACGCTGTGAACTTGTTGTGCTCTTCTTCCTTGCAGCAGAATTCCATCGGTTCTTGACGGCATTCTCCGATCTCCCTGGTAGCAATTTCGCAATCTTGGTCCAGCTGCGCAACATGGGTGGGGTATGCACACAGCCGAGGCTCCGACGCATGAGCTCAGCACGTGACACCATTGGCAAAGAGCAGAGCGCAATGACGAACGCCGAACCCGCGCGGGCATCATTCGCAAAGAACAAGTAGAGCCCGAGCCATACTAAGGGAAAAACGTACATCGTATGGGAAGACACTTCACCTGTTTCCGAAGCGGGCCTGGCCCTGGACGAGGATTTCGTCCTCTTCTGGCGTCCAACTTGACTTCTTGAGGGTGGGGTCGAGGTGGTTAAACCAACGCTCGCGACACTGTTTCCCGACGCGACCCTCGACGCGTTCCGCGATCTCCGACCACCGAGTCATTTTCTCATTGATACAGTCGATAATGATCTGATCCTCCTCCGTTGTCCAGGGACCTTTCACGAGTGCACCCTTACATTGACGGAATAACGCCAGGAGGAAGGTAAAATGACCGTGAACGTTATTGCCGGGGATCTGTACATGATGTCAAAGTACCGGCGAGGAGTTACACTGCAAAAAAATGTGACCAGCTCTACGTAGGAAATGTGAACGCTGAAGAGGATAAATTCGGAGAAGTGAAGCTTGCTTCGTCTTCCTACTGTATTTGCTGCAAGTGCGTACCCCGATTTCCGCAGCACCCTCACTTCTGCACCGAATAGCATACCATAAACATCCGGCTTGCCAACGCCGCACTAGCGTCGACTTTCCACCCTCGTCCTTGCCCCGACGTACCTCCGCTTGGCAGCGCGCTGTCGACTTCTCTTTATTTTCATCGCCTTGCCTCTCACCCCCCCCTCTTTGTCGAACCCCGTCAATGTTCCTGCTTCCTTCCATGGAGCTTGCCCTTCGCCTGTCATGGGGTTCGCTTCGCCGTTCATCTTTCTCCCTAGATTCCCTGGCTCCTTGCGTGGCTGGAATGTTCATCCCAGCCTTTTCGTGGCTTTCTGTGGCTGGCCCATGAATTCCGCCGGGGGATTTCAACGGCGCAGTCGAAGCCGTCCTCCCCGGCTTTGATACCCATCGGCTGTTTCCTGTTGCCGGTGCATTCCGTTGTCTCTCCACTCCACTTTTGGCAGAAGTGCTGAATTGGGCTGCAAACTCCCTTTGGCTGCTCGAGATGGATCGTACCCTTTCTTCGTGTTCTAATGCCTTACTGGCTGACTCATTTGCTCGCTGGTGGGCAGGCTGGTTGACTGTTGCATGCGGAATCCACGACGGGGTCACAGTCTTGAACGCCTGCGCAATTGAAAACACATTTGGGGAACACTGTTTTCTCAGAACATTATGCATTGTTTTTGCATACTTGGAAGGCAAACCAGCATCGGTGAACACATGCTTCTGGTGTTCTGTGTTCGTATGCTCGTGCTCCGAGCTCCCACAGGCTAGGACGCGTACTAGTGTTCGATCCTCTCATTTATTCAACCACTTCTTTCTGTTATTTTTTGTCAACTGTCTAGTAGCGTAGTCGATGCAAACCAAAAGAGACACACTAGCACCGCAACGAGGATCGTTACAGTACAATGGTGCAGATGAAATCGCTTTGGCACCACACAATATATGCCGCACTACACGAGGCCAGCCTTCGAAGTGGGGATTGTGGCGTGGGAGAAGCCTCTGTAATGTACTTGCGGTGTGCTTGGCGTTGAGGACCTCGATGACGACAAATGCGCGGGCTCTGCACGGTATATTCGTCTGTAGCGAGATGAGAACTATTTCGCACGTCCCACGCAGGTATTAACACTTTGACTCTGAATTACGGTTCTAGACGCCCTAGCCCCACAAAAGCGGGTGGCGATGGCATGACGTTTCAACACGGGAAAAGCGAGTTGGGGTGTCTAGGAATAGGCAAAGATGCTTCGTTATTGGGCCTTTTTCTCCCCTCTGCATTTTCGGAGTCCTCCGGTATCTGCTGTTCGTGCTACTCCGCTAAACTCTACGCAGCTTCTTCGACGGGGGATCATGTTTGCGCATATGAACGAGTGAGTATTCCTGCATGTTGTTCGCCAGTTTCGTCTTGAATGGATTTGTATGCCCTGCCACCACATGAAAATCAAAATCACACAACCGGAGCATCGGCAAGGCATAAAGAGGCGGTGGAGTGAGGTAGTAGGTGGCAGCGCTAAGCAGATATATACTGTTGTATGTATTGCACACACATCTGGCCTCGTCTCTGCCTTGTAAAAACGTTGATAGTCCGCGACATCCTCGGTCCACAGTAGCACGCAGTATGATCGCCTGTCGCGTGCACCCGTGCAACGGTTACAAAATCGTCGAGTACGCCGAATCAGCGAGCACTTGACCAGAACACAGCGTGGTACCCAAGGACCATACATCAAGCGGCTAGTTTTTGGACCCATCCGATAAGTGGAGCTGTTGCAGCATTACTTTCGTTCGTATCCCTACAGAAAATGTTCTTTCAAGGGAACAACACGTCAGTAGCGTTCTCCTGCTTCCTTGTTTAAATGCTTTCCGGGAACAGTGTTGACAAAATCGAGATCGCCTTGCAAACCATCACCAATCCAAAGAGCCACGCACACGCCTCGAAATGCATCTGTTGCTGTTATAGTAGAATTCTCAACCCGCAGAGTTTAAATACCAGGTACCACCTTCGAGGGTGCCCACTATGTGCGCTAGACAAGAGGATTGTCCATTGTCATGGTAGCAGGGCCTGTCCCGTCAGGTGATTGACACACACTACGGGCGCGCTTTTACTAGGCCAAAACCCCTCTCCATGTTGCAATCTCTTTGAATGGCGGAGCGCCGGGTGAACCTCCTTTTCGCAAAAGACTGCGAAGAGCGCTCAGGGCTACTTATCATGTTTGCCAATTTCTCCATCCAGCAGGCGTTAAACTGGAGATCGTAAACTGGAGATCGTATTGGTGGTAAAGAAAGATAATGACACCAGCGTTTGTGTCCACCGTTTCGTTCGAGTTGAACAGCCTTCCGTCAGTAGGTTTACACCCTCCAAATCCGTTTGTTCAAGCTAAGACTGCCCCAAGTCACCATGTCACCATGTCGTGTGACGATCGTACGCTCTGTTGGTGACCCTTTAGCCGGATGTTGATACGTAGCTCCGAGCAAGGGATGCCGCACACCCGTGGCCGACCCAACGCACCCAACCGTAAGTAACCCCAACCCTCACCCTCACCCACGGCCAACGGAGGGCCTGCTGGCCGAAAACCGATCATTGGGTGAGAGTGCGGCGGAACAGAACGCGGAGTGAGCGAGGGCGCTGGAGAGAAAAAGAGAGCATGACCAATCAGAGGGCTTACAGATAGGAAGAGTCACTGACAGGCCGCGAAACAATGACGGAAAACTGACAAAGCGTCTCTGCAGTATGAATAAATACTGTTGTGTGGTCTTGTTACAGCAGCCCGCGTAGACAGGTGGCGCCCGGCAGGTGGGAATGCGCCCACCGCTCGCCCGGGGACGATGTTGGCAAAATTCCTATGTCGGAGAAAGCCTGATTGCAAGGGAAGTATACTTTTCCAGCGTCGTTTCCCCACCCCGAACGTCACACACCCTCTTTTCTCATTTCCCTTCGTTTCTGGGAGATGATTACGTCACCATGGTCGGCTTAGGCTCTTTTGTAGCGGCGACGGTGTGGAGAAAAGGTCAATTTTGCAAAAAACAAAACTCCTGGGCAAAAACGGCACTGCTGTCGTGTGCAAGCATTGCTATTGTTGCTATTAGATACTGTAGACCCAACTTCTCCAAGTGCAGGTCGGTAGGAGTAGCTCATATCACCAGCTGCCTTCGACGATCCTCGAGTCAGGAGACTGGGGCTGGTGGCGGCGAGGGGCGAAAAACTGCAGTAAATACTATTACTGTAGTTGTGGAGAACACCTTCATAAAGGATGAAACTCCCCAACGTCTGTCGAGGATGAAACCCTTTTTTCCACAACGGCGTCGACGAAGAGATGTTAGGTGTCTGCTATGTTTGCAAAAGACACGGGTTCAAAACCCGCTACTCACCTAATTTTCTTCCAGAGTACGGAAAAAGAAAAACGGTGGGTGGGCCAAGAAACGATGCAGTGTCTATCGAACTCGACACTTCTGGCAATGCGTGGCGGAAGTGGTGCACCCGCACACACGTTTGTTGGAAAAAAGGTGGTTCTACTCGGCGCCAGCCGGTCGGGTTCCGGTTACCCCGAGAAGACTTCTCTTGCCTAGCNTTTTTCCACAACGGCGTCGACGAAGAGATGTTAGGTGTCTGCTATGTTTGCAAAAGACACGGGTTCAAAACCCGCTACTCACCTAATTTTCTTCCAGAGTACGGAAAAAGAAAAACGGTGGGTGGGCCAAGAAACGATGCAGTGTCTATCGAACTCGACACTTCTGGCAATGCGTGGCGGAAGTGGTGCACCCGCACACACGTTTGTTGGAAAAAAGGTGGTTCTACTCGGCGCCAGCCGGTCGGGTTCCGGTTACCCCGAGAAGACTTCTCTTGCCTAGCAAACAAGAAGAAGCCTCGAAAAAGGGGGGGTAATGTGGAGAACACCTTCATAAAGGTTGAAACTCCCCAACGTCTGTCGAGGACGGAAACCCTTTTCTCCACATAGTGGGTTTTGGATCCAGGGATTGCAGAGTTTTTGGACCCAGCGACTTCGATGCTACCATAAGCTACGTAGCTGTAGAGTGAGAAAAACATTTGTGGCACGCAATTCGCTGATTGGCCAACGCACCTACGGCGGAATTTCAAAAATGTCAAAAAAGAACAGGGCACGACCCAACATCGTTGGTCGACGGGTGGGGTCATCCACGGCCAAACCACATCCTGGTAGGAATCCTGGGAAGATAATCGTGTCTTCTGATGATGGCCTCCTGTTGTTTGTCACCTTGGCTGACTAGGAACTGGAGACAGAGAGATGAATCCTCCCGACCGATCCGATCCATCCGCGTTGTTCTCAGACCACTGTAAATCAGATACAGCAGTAGTGATGGATCTTTCCGAGCTAGAGGCTTTCTTGGCGGAGAACCAAAACATTGATTGTTATCATGCTACCTAACCCAGATGTGAGCGTGCCAACGCGCAGCTCACATCCCTTGCTCCGAATGGCAAGCAGTTGAGGGTAGGACTACAGCAGCATTAGACTTGTAAGGGGCAAGATTGTTTTCGATTTGTTGTCCGAATGTTACTTGAAAGTCCAAACCGATTTTTCGCGGTCCAGCGGCGGATGCATGTGAGACGACTACGAAGATACCGCTGCTGTAGGTTTTAGAGGCTACGGCGCATGTTGCTTAGACGTCACGCTGCTGAACACGAAGTACTTCGCATCATCGGACACGGACCGGCATCCAGCAGTAGACTCGTACATGGTGCCGCAAGAAAAACCAAAGTTGTTGGATTAAAATACAAGAAAACAGCCAGCGTCAAAACCCCTGTTCTGCACCCCCTTAAACATTAAGGGTACCCAGACAAGGGATTTTGACGCTGGCTCTTTTCTTATACTTTATAACAGTACAAAGAAAGAAAACAACCTTCCCGCCGGAGGAACCTGGTCCGTTGTGCTAGTATCAGTAGAGGATATCATCAAGAGGCGTCGTGCGTGCTGGCACGTTCAGGTATACTACTGGGGCTGAAATATCGAAGGTCGCAGCAGCCTCTGAAAACGGTCCGAAATCTGCGTCGGAACCAAGCGGAACCCAACACTTGTCACAGCGGTGCTCACCACCACGGACCGCAAACCCCTCAACTGCGGGTTGTCAGCAGTAGCTGGTGGCATCAGCTACTGCTGTAAACCTGCAGTTCAGAAGATTGGGTTCAGTGGCGGCGAGCACAAGCAGTACAAGACACTGGGTGTCGATCTAACTTGCGGAGATTTGCGGAGATTGTGGGCCACTACAACGACACTCGATACCACCACCACAGAAGAAGTTTTGAGAGCGCCAACACACCCCCCCGCTGCTTTAGGGTGTCCTCTAGTGATATTGGTACAATGGACCAGGTTCCTAGCAACACCGGCCTTATTTGAGCGCCTTCCGTTTGGGCTCTTTTGACTTGAATTTAGACTGGTGTGGATTTTTATCTTGGTTTCAAAGGATGCGTGTGGAGGTAGACGCGCGAAAAGCACGTTTTGAGCGGTCTCTACTGCTGCCCTGTGCCAGAATTTTGGACTTGTTTTTTTTTGCGATGCCTTCCGACTGGTCTCATGTGTCTAGTGCATTTTCTGGCGCTCTTGCGTTTGTTTTCGAAATTAGGCAACATAGCAGGAGGTTGTCCGGGTACCCTTAAACACCTAACGAACAGGTTAACAAACACATAAGGCATCATTGCTGACAACAGACGGAGCCCTACGCATGTGGTAGTTTACCACGTCTGTATAATGCACATCAGTATGTTACGGGATGGAGGTTCAAACAGGAGGCACACACGACCGACGGTTCTTCGTACGAGTGTTTCGTGGTGAAAGCAGCGTCACTGCTGTGTCGGCCCAGTCTACAAACCGGAGACAATTCCAAACGTGAGGGCGCTAGAATTCCGCCCGGATCCAATAGGTAGGTGCATGCAATCTGCGCGTATCTGCTGCTCTGGTCAGTGGCAACCTCTTCGAAACCTGTTGGCATGCGATTTCCAGCAAAACCTTCGAATCCCGAATTCAACGCTGTTTGGGGACACAACGAATACAACTTGCTGATTGCTGATGGACAATTCATTTTGACCGACCTTCTTGTCTTGCTCCTTAATATTTTCCCAACTCGTGCTAGGGCTGAGTCCGCGCCTTTTGCTCCCTCTCAACTTCTCCATATCAGAAACTGCCACAGGGGGGGGAGCAAACGGTCTGTCGTATGTGTTGTGCGCTGCGGTCATGTGCCTTAATTAGCGTCGTCAGTCTTAGTGGAGCTGATGAATGTCTCGTGCCCATTTATTCTTGACGTGAAAATCCTACCGACTGAAACCGCCGCAACATTTCTGGGCAAGCTCGAGAGACTCGAGACGGCAGTTGATTACAGCACCGAGCGGCGAGGTGCTGGCGTCATCTTCAGAGGTGTACGCAAGCAATAAAAATGGGGGATGAAGAAAGCATGTCACGCACTGACCCTCGGGTCGAGTACATTTCCGCGCGTGTGCAAGCGACATTCCCAAAGATGGTGGTAAGGCAACGTCGTGGTACTGCTGTAGTTGGAACTCCAAGTGGTTCATGAAACCATCTCTGTAGCAAATCAGGCAGCGCTTACGTGATGAAGCCCTGGCAAGAGGCAATTGCTATCGTAAATCCTGCTCGAGAGAAACGACTGCAGCATGATAGTCTACTTTGCAAGTCATTTCATCCCCGCCAAAAGATGCCCAGAGATTTGAGACTCTTTTCCGAGTCTACATCGACATTTACACTGCTGCACATGTAGTTATGTTACAGGTGCAGGCCCGCTACAATATGTAGTAAAACTTGCTGCTGCTGCTGCTGCTGCTGCAGACTTTTCAAACGAGCTGTATTAGTGTTTGTAGGTGCGATGCACCAGGTGAAAACACACTCCTTGCTCATATATCATGGACTTTTGTCTATGGATAGACATGATTCTTGCATGTTGTGAGAAATAAAACAACACACGCCGCCGTTTGTGCCCACGTATTTTCCCCGTCCACGCCCACACGTTGTACGACGGCGTTATAGGGCCCGAAGTTTACCAAAGCTTTCCAGACAGAGGACAACGAACAAAAGCTTTCTGACTTCCTGAACGTCGAGGAAAGGGCGTTCATCTTCTGTCCAGAGTCATTAAAATGCGAAACGGTGATGCCCAAGAAGGTGCCGAAAGGCAAAACGCTCGTGTTCATGAAGGTTCTCCGAGGAGCCGTCACGGCTGATGGGATCGCTCGCGAAGTCATGGTTATGGAGATGGGCGGTAGTACGCCCTTCGAGCATCTGGAGCTCTTAGCGCACGAGATTTTTTTGCCTATCCTCTCAAATGCGCAGAACCAGGCGAAGTGGGGGGAGGTGCCGACGCGCGAAATCATGGACAGGTTTTACGGGTTTTTGTCTAGCACAACAATACTATGTGGCCAAATAAAGGGGGAAACAAGACTCCCAATGCCGCCGATGGACATTGGAGGGGCATCTAGTGGAAAGAATCGGATATCACTCCTGGAGGGTGCAATCATCACGTGGACAAAGCAGATCAAGTCGGTGCTGAAGCAGGACCCCGAGAGCCAGCTGAAGCAAGGAATGCACCCTACTCCCGATGTTGAGATCGATTTTTGGAAAAACAAGGTGAGGACTTACTTGTTGTGTGGGCCTCGAACGACTTAGTGACTCGGGAACCACGTCTTGCTATACAGTACCCGCCTGTCGTTGGCTTTTCTCCCAATATTTGAGAGCAGTACATGCTTGGAGGCCGCGAGACAAGCAGTGATAGCGTTCGTTTCTGACCACCCCCTGCTTACATAGAGACATGTACCACGAACGGACCAGGCTGGCTTACGGCAGGAGCGTCTTCTTTACGCGTATCCCTCGACTATCATATTTGGCTTTGGATATCCCGCAAGACATGCGTAGTCTTTTTAGAACGCCCTTAACTGTCGCCCCGGGCACTGCTGTCCTGCAATTTTCAGGCCAGCAATTTGAACTCCATCTTCGAGCAGCTGCAAGGCCCGAGCATTCGCCGTGTGTTACGAGCTTTGGACCAATCGAAGAGCACCTATTGCACTACCTTCGCCCGATTGTGCAAAGAGGTATACCCATCAGTTCCCTAACATAGGTTGAAACTCGCTCGCTACACTCGTTCTGCCCCTGCACCTTTGCAACGCTGCAGAATATGAACTCCTGGCAATCAGGGTGCTTGACAACGTCGTTTATCACATCAACAGTATGTGATTGGCAAGTGAACTGAAGTGGTTCGAGCTTAGTATGTCCTTGTTACGATGATCAACACAAGAACGTACTTGCATTCGAAAATGTCGCCCTGTCGCCTGTGCTTCACGCGTTCTGCCTATCCTCAGCTGTTTCACCGTTGCTGAGGTTGACTCAGTGTGGATGTCGCCTCGTGAAAATCCTACCTGCTACCGACTCATGCAGGTATTCACAGCGCGTTTGGAGGCAAACGACAACATGAAGTACCTCCGGACGTTGGAAGACTGGTTTGACAAGCTCAATGACGATGGGGACTTTCCCAAACTACTGGAGGTACGTGATGTGCGCTATCGATGCACCCATCAGCCCTCCCCGTTTTCGACATCACTTGTTCGATCACCGAATCTGCCATCCACATGGTCTTGCTTTCTGTACCTTGGAACGACGACGTGGGACCACAAGGAACAAGTCCATGTACTTCATTCCTTCCTTTCCAAGTGGTTCACACCTCCTTTTTCATCCAAGAAGGGTGTAGAAGTGATTCTTTGCTCCTCAACAATCAGTTCAAAATCTGCGGATGTACTTGCGAACAATCGCTTTCCAAGCAATGTCATACCGGGATTTGACCCAACAACCTTGGCCATACATTCGAGGCCATGGTATCGACCCGAATCCCTGCTTTAATGGGAACTATCTCGTGACTTGGTTGAAGTTCCCAGGATGATTATGTGCTCGTTGTTTCACCATCGGTACCTTTCGGCTTGTTAATTATGTTGCCTGTTCTTCCCGCAGCTCTTCAAACCGATGCTTCACATCATCCTGCTGATATGGAAAAACAGCAAGCACTACAACACTCCAGCCCGGCTAGTGGTCCTTATGCGGGAAATATGCAACAGCCTTATCATCCAGGCGTGTAAGTATAGCAGCGGACAACAGATTTTCACGCTCATTGAGCAAGAAGACGCAGCCAAGGCTGTGGACCAGCTCAAAACGACGCTTTTGGTGTGCGGCACATTCAAGAGCACGTACTTCGACTACAAGGCCACAGCAAACGCTGAGTGCCCTGCAAACCCGTGGCGAATACAGGTGATTTACGGCTGGCACGAGTGTGCCGTGTTTGTTTTTCACCGCCATGCGTGTCATCTTATGCGATGTGTGTTGAACAAAAGGCGTACTAATTGCAGTCTAGCTTTTGCCGCCCGTGCTCCGGATATCGAACTGTCACCTTCATGTCGGGGGGATAACGCCTGCGCTTACGCCATCTCTACCCGCGGTCCACCTCGTGCCTCCTTCAGAACAACGCGCTGTTTATGCGCCTTGACAGCTTCCTTGAGCGCTGCCACGACATCTTGGATCTCACTCAAACCATCGTTCAATTCGGCAAGCTGGCCAAGATAGAGGTCGGGGGAACAAAGGGGAACACATTGACAGCATCTGTAAAGCAGGTACGATCAATATCTGGATGCACGACTCAGCAACGGCACTGGACTAGAATGTCTTCGTCATTGAAGAACGTACAAGTGTCAACAGTTAGTACACATCCATTAAAGACTTGACCAGTGACGTTCAGCAATTGCTAATCCTGAGCTCCTGCGCGCGACTTCTGCAATCAGATCCATCTGGACTTCGAGGTTGCCGTGGAAAAGTTTAAGGGTGTCCCCTATGACATTCTGGACGTCGCCGCAAAGCAGGTATGTTCTCCATCCATGATTACACATTGAAGTTCGCTCTTAACAGAACATGCAGTGCCCTTCCCGGGTGGTGTTTGTCTATTCTCTCATCCCGTCCCCCCTCTGTCTGCAGTTTGATGACGACTTCTATGAGTTCAGATGCAGCATCAAGGAGCTAGAGCGCCGGCTCGGCGCGGTTGTCAGCTTGGCGTTCGACGACTGCGCAACTGTGTATGGGCGGTTCAAGCTGCTCGATAGCTTCGAGGGACTACTAGAGCGACCTATCATCCAGGTGAGCCTCGGGATTACGATATGTCTGCACGGTTGTGCCGAACTTCATCAAATGGATGTCCTACTTCGACGCAGCATCACTTCAAAGGTGTTTGTGAACCATGCCCACATCCATGTTCATATCTTCGATTGAAAACATGTTACAGGACGAGCTGGAGAAGAAGTACGTCGGCCTAGTACAGAGCTACGGTGCTGACTTAAGAAACGTGCAGGAGCTGTTCCTGCAAAACAGAGACGGCCCACCGATATCGTGGAACCTCCCGCCCATTGCCGGAGCCCTAACATGGTGCAGAGGATTGGTTGACAGGATTCAGATTCCCATGGCGAAACTTCAACAGCTTGACCGAACTATCTTGGACAGGGAAGAGGCCAAAGAAGTAGCAAAGGTGAGCATCACTAAGGAGGCAATGCAGCCAGTTCATCCGAAAACTTCGCCCGCTTTTCTTACACGTGGTCACCCGATCCCACCCGAAAAACTTCGTAAAAAATTCTCACGTTCTCCTCACAACTGGATGACTTCCTTCCAGATTTCACCCGGCTCCTCCATTCGTCCTCCATTCGTCCTCCATCTTCGTCCACGGCACGCGATAGCCTTTCTTTCATAAACCGCTGTACAACCTCGCAAGTACCATCCATTGATTCACTTCAGGTGTACGCTACGATAATTGCGAGTCTTCAAGAGTACGAAAATCAGAAGATTGAGGAATGGGGACGCGATGTCGAAGCTTCCAGTCAGGCCAAGCTCAAACTACCACTCCTTATCCGAGATCTAGATAAGAGCCTGTTGAACGTCAACTTCGATCCGGCCTTGGTTAAGCTTCTCCGAGAAGTGAAGTACTTCTTGCTGCTGGGACTTACGGTGCCCGACAGTGCACTTGAGGTCTACAAGCAGGTGGAAATTTTCAGGAGATGGACGGGCAACCTCGATCTCATTGTCAACATGAACAACGATGTCCTGCTTCAACTTCTGCCGGTGGAGAAGCCCCTCGTGCGGCCCTACCTTGACAAGTTTGACCGCGTTATCAACGCCGGACTCAGCCAAATGAACTGGAACAGTGTAGGAATCAATGAGTTCATCGAAGAGTCTATGGAACAGGTACGAAGAACCATATGCTAGGAAGGACATACGAAGTACTGTATCTGCGATGCCAGGCTTCGCTGTCTAAGGCAGGAGAACACACAGGCAAGCATCGCTCTTGCTATAACTTCCACCCACCTGACTCTGCACCATCGTTCCACTCGTTTTTGTCAAATACCGATCTCCAGGTAACCGCTGTGCACGAGGTGATGCACACGATGAAGACAAATTTGGCCAACATCAAGAGGGTCCTTGGTGCGTGGGATCGCCCACTGATGGAACGCAAGCCAAAACCCGTTGATCGAGATGAATTTGAACGTGCACACAAGGCCATCAAGAGCTCTCGATACGCCGAAATCAAAGAAGGGGGGAAGGTGAACAGTTGTTTGTGAATCACCTCTGCGCGGCCTCGCCCCTTCTGCGCTAGAGTACCACTTACAGGCAGAGTTCATTGTCTATACGATGGGGACCACTTAGCACCGCCTCGCTGCGTTGGCGTGAAGGGACCTACATGGCGGGGTCAGTGTTTTCTCAACTGCTGGTCTTGGGTGGTGTGCAGTTGCCGATATCTCACCCTAGACTGCAAAGGACGTGTCTTGTCCACTACGGATGGCTTAGTTCCTCCTGAAAAGTAAAAGGTATTTTATATATGCACCGGTGTTGAAGACAAGTGGTGTATAACGTAAAACCGTGTCCTCATCTATCACGCGGTCATGCTGACAATCTCATCCCACTTCCTGTCTGCTGTTGGTGCTACTTCTACCACGGTGTATTTGCTGCTCTGCAGGAGATCCACAACATGCTGAAGGAAAACAACAAGGTCCTCAAATGCTCTAACGCCTCCCCGGACTGGCGTGGATACGTAGACTTCGTCAACAACGTGGTCGTTGATGGCCTATCCCGCGTGATATGCGCGTCTCTAGAGTATCTGCTAGATCAGGTAAATAGCACATACAGCTCCAGAACAATGTTGAATATCCGCTCGTTTTCATACATTATTGCGCAGTCATGAGGAGCGGTCGATCGACAACATGATCCTATGATTATAGGTCTTGATGGTTTGTGCTCATGGCCGGTAACCTTTTGGCAAATCAGCTCTGACCCATCCGTGGCGTATCAATGGCACACACGGCCTGTGCTTGGAACATTGCCTCAAATAACTTTTCTCCTGAGTGGGTAACACACCTTCTCTCTTCCATTGCACAACTCTTCAAGGTGAGTCCGGACGTGATGGCCAAGAAGGGACTACTTCCAGTGATTGAGATCAACTTGGATCTCGTGGACAGTGAGGTTCGCTTCCAGCCCCAGGTGAACGCAGCCTCGCAAACTGATGTTGCGCTTCGACAGCCACAACCCCTTCGAAAAACTAGAAATATTCTCATGAGTCGCTCTGTGACTTTCTTTGAGATCTCGTGTCCTGATTGGGTAAATATGGCACTGATCACGAACTCATCGCTCTCTTTCCGGTTTCTCCATGTGGCGGATGGGCTTAGATCGGATTCGCGTCGAATGGCAAAGGTATTCGAGATCTCGTCCACAACTGGGTGGGGAGCTTCTTTAGCATTGCTACGCTCTTCAAGCGCCTCGACAATGAAGGGACATACATTCGCGAGATGCAGGTACTTATCGCTCAGTCTCGTTTTTGGTTCTTTTGTGTAGGTCCGACTCATTCCCCTTGGTGAGCCGGTGGCGAGCTGATTCCTCGGGTACGGTCTCTCAACGTGCATCAAGTCAAGTAGATGTGTATATTTTCATGTCGCACTGTTGTAGACGTTGGGCGCTCGTTCACCCCGTGGCGTTTTTGCAGACGACTCACCCGTGCTCCTCCTTCAAAAAATTTCCAGAGTGACACCGAGGTCCAGATGCTGGTCGCCATTCTGAACGATGCCCTGTCCGACAATGATGAAGCTTGCATGAGGTTGAAGGCGCAATACGATGCCTTTTCCTACCTATGGCTGACCGACATGTGAGACAGGATATGTAAGGCAAGGTGGATTTCGTACAGAAGCATACTGTATCGGGTGTATCCAGATTGCTACCTGTTCCAGATGCTTACGTGAGTTCTGAAGGTCTTTACCAAAACCCTACTTGTACCCGGAAATTGTGTGAGTTCTTTATACCCATTGAGGGAATGCCCGCGGTAAGGTACATCAACGTAAGATAACAACCGGGAACATGACTGAGAAATAGGGCAAAGCACTCAGAAAACGAGGCAAATACCAAGATGAATACAATGATACACATGGAAACAAATACCCAGGTGTGGATACAGATACGCAGATATATATGTGTGAACTTTTCCCAATTTTTTCTCTTGATTCCTGTACGACATGGTCGCATACCCATTTTTTTCTGTTGAGTCCTGCGACAAGTCCGAACACCCACCCGATGGTTCTGCCTTGATACTTCCCAAACCCGCAAGTTACAAACCCCACATAACACCTCTGATATTTCACTCAAAGTCGTGCTTTAGGAAAGCCTTCCTGCTTCATCATACTCTTGACAAGGCGCGACGACTTCAAAGCACACCGGATTAGTGACGAGCGCAGTTGAGCGTAACATTAGTTTTCTTGCCCCGCCCTGCCCCCCGTCAAAGGGATGCCTTTTTCGAAGAATTTGCCGAAGATGCCATCGTTACCACGGAGCTCGGACAGCGCCTGACGGATCTGAAGAAATTCGAGGATGCAATTAAAAAATATGAAGGGGTCCAGACGTCGGCTAAGAAGCTGGTCAGGTAATGGGTCGTTTAAGAGAGTTCAATAAACCTCAGGTATCGTCCGTGCTCACCACAGCGAGGGAGATGCTCAAGACCGAGTAGACCCACCTGCCCACTGCACTGTCCCTGGCGTTGTTCGGCAGCCCGCAGGACGTTGGCTGGCTCCGGGTGAAAGTTACTCCAGTGAAGCAAGCGTTGGTCACATGGTCGTCGAAGTGGGTCAACATGTTTACAGCACATCTCCAGAGTACCCTGGTGAGCACGCAACAAGCATGGCCCAGGGCTCCTGGCGGTGTTGGTGTTTTTTTTTTTGCACATTCCACTTGTACCTAACCAGGTGAAGGTTCACGAGAATTCTGCACCTCTACCCCCTGCCCAATTCACAACGGCATTACTAGGTGGAAAAATTGGCATCTCTGGATACCTTCATGAGAGACATCTCTACAGGGCTGGATGCAGAGGTCCCGGAAGGTCCAGAAGGCAAGGGCAACCTAATGAAGGTATGGCACATGCCGTAGTTCAGGCGATCAAAAGTAGTGCGTATGCACCCGCTCTGCTGTTGCACATTACGCGACACAACCTCGTTTGGTTTTGTTCCGAACTTGCATGGTGTGCAACTAGTGAAAACGGTTGACTCCTACCACCCCCGGGTCGAAACCCTTCCACGCATTTAACACAATACCGTGTTCAAAACGCTCACTAACCTCAACTACCAGGTCATGAAGGACATCAGCGAGGTCCGCAAGGCCATGGATACAACCCAGGAGATGTTCGAGCCCTTGCATCAAATGATCGTCATGCTGAAACAGCACGGGGTCGATGTGTCGGGAGTACAGGTGGCCGAGAAAGACGTGCAGGTGGGCACTAACTAGTCTTGGTCAAGTGATGCTCAGATGATATAATTTCCAGCTTATTGTCTGTGTGTTGAAGAAACTTTCGACTTTTCTTGCTCCCCGTCTCGACTAATAACAAACAAGCATTCGACAAAATTCTCCCCGACAAATGTTCGTATCTCTGTTCGTTCACTTGAGCAGGATTTCCTGGAGGAGGCTCCGATGTCGTGGGACGCCTTGGTGAAGAAGACGTTCCGCAAAAAGGAAGAGATCCTACCGATGCAGATGGCAGAGGTAGAATAGTTTTCCGTGATGCTTGGAAAGTTTGAATGTTGGTGAAAGGGGCGATGGTAGCAACTAAATGAACGGCTAGCTTCTGTGATAATGGTGACGTGGTTCCTGCCATGCTTGAGAGCAAGCCTTGGGCATAATTTCCTGTCGCATTGCGACGGTGCGTTTTTCAACGCGTTGGACGGCACCGCATTGTTTACTGCTCCCTTCATCCCCCAGAAGCCTATGAAGCCGCTGATCGCGCGGTTGTGATGCGCGGTGACAGGTGGATGCCTTGAAGGAAGAGCTGGAAGGCTTCTTCTTAGCCATGCGATCCTTCCGCAATAAATTCCGTGCGGAAGCCCCTTTTGCCTTCAAAGGACCTGTGGAGGACGCGTACAAGCAAATGGAGGAGCATGCAGCGAGCCTGTTGGAGAAGGAGGTCCAGGTTCGAAGGTACAACGAACTAGAAGATCTGTTCGAACTGCAAGTGTCTAAGTATCCCGAGACTCAGGACACACGCATGGAGCTCAGGCTTCTAAAAGGGCTATGGGACTCTAAAGCCATGGTGGATAGCACATACGTGGACTGGAGAACAGCTCTGTGGAGTCAGATCAACACGGAAGAGCTTGATGACGAGAACAAAGTACTCCTTAAGCAGCTCCGAAAGCAGGGGAACGATTTTCCGGTCGTGAAAGGATGGGCGGTATACCGCGATATCGAAGACTCTATCAAGAACATGGGTATGGTGTTACCGCTGATCAACGATTTGCATAGTCCGGCCATGCGGGTACGCCACTGGAAAAGCTTGGCGGCGGTGTGCGAAGTCAAGGCTGTAAACCCCAGCGATCCAAAGTTCACAATGGACGACATGATGCAGCTCAACCTCCATGCCCACGTCGAAGATGTCTCCATGATCGTAGAAACGGCTCAGAAAGAACTCAAGATCGAAAACAAGCTGGAGGTGATCGAGGCTGCATGGAGGGACATGGAACTGCACTACGTGCCCCACAAAGATACGGAGATGTTCGTCGTCCGGCCCTCCGAGGAGCTCGTCGAGAGCCTGGAGGCTCACCAGATGGAATTACAATCCATGGTGGGAATGGGCAAGTTCGTTGACTTTTTCCGAGACCGAGTCATGCATTGGCAGAAAACACTGGGGAGCGTTGAAGAAGTGCTCAAGCTGTGGGCGAACGTTAGCCGGAACTGGGCATCACTAGAGAGCATCTTCCTGGCGTCAGCGGACATTCGTTCTCAGTTGCCGGACGGTAAGACAATACCTTCCTGTTCGGGCCTCCATTCCTCCTCAAACGCATGCCCGAAGGCAAGCGAGCGTGACGCCGAGAACAGCTTTTACTTTTCGGGGTGCCAAACGAACCAATGCGCATCCTGGTGCGGTGGTGTCGACAAAACAGCGGGATCTGCAGTTAGACCATGCCCCCCAGACAAAGCAGGAAGACGTTGTGCGCAGCTGTTCTCAAGTTTTTTCGATAGCTAATCGGTTCACTTTGAAAGGGCCATCGAGCTTTGTCCAAATGCAGCCAGGTCGCACACAAACCCCGCCATCACGTATTGTTTACGTTGCAACAGATACGAAGCGCTTTGAGGGCATCGACAGCGAATTCAAGGAGCTAATGAAAGAAGCAATCAACGTACCCATGGCCGTCGATGCTTGCGGGGTTGATGGGCGTGCCGAGGGTCTGAAGTCCATGATGCAACGACTAGAAATGTGCCAGAAGAGCCTCAACGAATATCTCGACATGAAGAAGAAGGTGATGCGAGGCGATTGGCTACAAATTCTGCAAACGCCGACGTGAATTCCAGCCTTGAAGCACGTTTGCCGTCTAGCTACATTCGGAAGACCTTATTTCATACAGGCGAGGTCACTGCGATGAAAGGGAACATCATAACGAAAGCACATTCGTATCCTACCCGTTCGTTGGACGTCGCGTAATTTCCGCAGATTTTCCCCAGATTCTACTTTGTGTCCAACGTCGCGCTGTTGGACATGCTTGCCAACGGCACCAACCCGCCCAAGATCATGCCATACCTCGGCGATTGTTATGATTCGCTGGCAAATCTTACCTTCATTACTCTCGAGGACGGAACAACATCTTCAAAGACTGTTAACGAGATGGTGAGCTTGTGGGCGCTATGTAGCAAAAGGCACCTGGTGGCGGTCTACAGTAGGAAACGAACGCCGTCCGAAATATCACACATCACGCCCGCCATTCGCATGTTCAAGGTTGTGCTTTAATCTCGAGCACGCGCGTACTCTTTCCAGCATGCTTGCTCGAACGCTAACACTGAGAGGACAACACGAACATGCCATTGTGTGTTCCAACAGTAGGACGTGACCAGAACACCGACACAGTGTTTGTGTGTTGACTTGGCATTGTGGCTTCTGCTGCAAACAAAATTTTACGATTGGCAATCCTCAGGTTGCAAAAGACCGCGAACACGTCAAAACTTTCGAAGATTTCACCATGGAAGGCGAGGTCGAGGGGTACCTGAACCGTTTGAGTGAGATGATGGTCATGACTCTCAAACTGCGCCTCAACGACGGAATCGACACAGCTGTCAATTGGGAGGTAGAGAAGCCCCGTCACAAGTGGCTTTTCGACTACCCGGCGCAAGTGGTGCTTACCGGCACGCAGATCTACTGGACAGAAGAAACGGAGGCGGCGTTAGAAGAGTTCGAGGGTGGCCAAGAAGACGCCGTCAAGCGCTATCTCGGTGTATGCAATGCTCGCCTGGCCTGCCTCATCGACCTCGTTCTAGGCGAGCTCAAGAGGGAGGATCGTACCAAGATTATATCGCTAATCACTCTCGATGTGCACGCCAGGGATGTCGTGCAAAAGCTTATCAACGACAAGACCGAAGGTCCTGCAGCATTTTTATGGCAACAACAGCTTCGCTTCTACTGGGCGCAGACAAACATGGACGTGGATATCCGCATTTGTGACTTCAGGTGCAAATACTTTTACGAGTGGATTGGCAATACGGGCCGCTTGGTTATCACGCCGCTGACTGACCGTTGCTACATCACCTTAACAATGGGGCTCCGTCTCTTCCTTGGCGGGGCTCCGGCTGGACCGGCCGGCACAGGCAAGACAGAAACGACGAAAGATTTAGCGAGGGCGCTGGCCTTGCCTTGCTACGTCTTCAACTGCTCGGACCAGATGAACTACCAGACCATGGCCGATATTTTCAGAGGCTTGGCACAGACTGGTGCCTGGGGTTGTTTCGACGAGTTTAATCGCATCCCTATTGAGGTGCTTTCGGTGGTGGCCACTCAGGTGAAGACGGTGCAAGATGCGATCGTCAAGTACAGCGTACCGGCACACAGGGACCCCGAGTACCAACCCCTCCCCGCCGGCACGCCGCCGGTCAAGGTCGGTGTGTTTGATTTTATGGGAGATATCATCAGCCTGATCCCCACGTGCGGCTTCTACATCACGATGAACCCCGGGTACGCAGGACGGACAGAGCTCCCGGAAAACTTAAAGGCTCTCTTCCGGTCTTGCGCCATGATTCGACCCGACCTGAAGCCCATATGCGAGAACATGCTCATGTCCGAAGGGTTCCAGAAAGCACGGACGCTTGCTATCAAGTTTGTCACTCTGTACGAGCTGTCCTCCGATCTCCTGTCAAAACAGTTCCACTATGATTGGGGCCTGCGCGCGGTGAAGTCGGTTCTGCGAATGGCGGGTATGCTGAAGCGTGGGGAGCCAAATCTGGACGAGGCGGCCATTTTGATGCGCGCACTTCGAGACTTCAATACGCCTAAGATTCCGGCGCACGACACACCAATTTTCCTACGGCTCATTGCGGATCTTTTCATGGGGCTGGAGGTGGCAACAAAGATGGATGAGACCTTGAAGCAAAAGGTAGTGAGCGTCTCGACGGAGTGGGGGCTTCAAATCGACGACACATTTGTGCTCAAGACGGTGCAGTTCCAGGAGTTGCTGGATGTTCGCCACTCTGTGATGCTCCTAGGACCAGCGGGTTGCGGCAAGAGCACCATTTGGAAGGTTTGAACATTGAACAGAAGATATTTCTTTGCGATGACTCTCCACGCTGCCTTCACTCGTGGTTGGGCCTAGGCCGCTCACAAACACGCGCCACGTTGGTACTGAGCGCGTGACTAATTTTTTAACCTTCACGGACGCCGCCGTGCCCACCCTTTCCACGCTGCAGACCCTCGCGCAGACACACAACATGAATAAACCCAAGAAGACGTGCGTGGTGGAGACAGTAAACCCCAAGGCCGTTACAGGTATATGAAGCGATTTGGAAAGGGTCATATGCAGCAGGAACGCAACGTGTCGGGTTGGTTTGTTGCGCCCATCACTTTGGAATCCAACTTATGTTGGAACAAAAGGACATTTCGCTTTGACCACCACACACTTTGACGGGCGACGGATGTTCTTCGCTCTGCTCCACCCTTTGACGCCGTGCTCTTCGTGCTCAGGGGATGAGCTGTACGGGTACATGACTCTCGCCAAGGACTGGAAAGATGGCGTCCTGTCAATAGTTATGCGTGGAATGTCGAAGAACTTCTCTGACCAGGTCTACCCTTGGCACTAGCTAGTGTCGGTGACAGTTAAATGGTTTGAGAAGAAGAGTGAAGGAAAAGTGACGATGCTGCCGTAATTTTCTTCATTTCCAGTCCGCATCCAACAGTTGTCTCGGTCATGGTTTCAATGCCCCCGATTGCCACGTATCAAATGACTTCCTATGCGCTGTGCACAAGGGTGGGGCTTTCTTGGACGCGCTGCTTGGACACGCTGAATTTGAATTCCATCCCTGACAACAGATTTGATGCAGACCTACAAAATTAATCAGAGTGATAAGGCGCCGTTAACTGGATCAAGGGCGAGTTCAGAGTAGCTTCAGTGTTGGGAATACTCACGAGTTTCACGCAGTAGTATCTGGCACCTTTTGGTGGTGGGTGTGAGCCACGATAATACCTCATTCGTCCTGGATTGCTTGCGACATTTGACATCTGCAGGGCTTCTACGAGTATCAGACATACAAGTGGGTGGTTCTCGACGGGGACATTGATGCCGTGTGGATCGAGTCCATGAACACGGTGATGGACGACAACAAGGTGCGTATGTACCTTTCGGGACAAGCTCACATCGAAATATCACTCGAATATGCACACATTGATTGTAGAGGGGACGCAGAGAAGGACCGGGGGAGATCGCGACACACTCACTACATAAGATAAACTCAAATCGGGCTCCCCCGAATACTACTTCTGTCCGCTCTCAATCACAGGTTTTGACTCTGGTTTCCAACGAACGTGTCCCACTCAGCGATGCTATGCGGATGGTTTTCGAAATCAATTCGTTGAAAAACGCAACCCCGGCCACAGTTTCGAGGGCTGGTATCCTGTTCATTAACGAGACCGGTGAGCTGACAAGGTAGACTTCTTGATTTTATTTTTCGCTCCCCTGGAGTAGCACCTGCCCTCACAAAAGCAGTTGTACATGATAGACGCCCCAGGACCTCACTTCCTGTTGGATATTATCTCGTTTTGTTACCGGCATCTTGCTGTCCGTCTATTAAACTTGTTCTCTAGACATTGGGTGGAAGCCTTTCGTGGAGTCGTGGGCAGCCACTCGCGAGGATGCAAACGAGCGTCAGGTTCTGCCATCCCTTTTCGAGAAATACGTGGAGGCAACCAGGACGATTGTCCGCAAGGGGTTCAAGGAGGTCACACCTCTGCGCGTCCTCAACAAGGTACACAAAGTAGGCTGGCCCACCCGTACATGAACGTGCATAATATATTAGTTGTCGAATGACCTAGAAAGGAGCTTCGGACAAGACAATCTTACGGTATCGAACAGAGTATTGCTGTTTTCACCGCCGCGGCAAACATCATTCACCGCCGCGGCAAATAGCATTCACCGCCGTGCCAATGTGACAAAATCTGCTTTGCGAAGGTGTGCACCATCGTCTACCTGCTGGAAGGATTACTCGAGGATGTGCCTCCTGAGAAGAAAACGAGCGACCTCATGGAGCAGTTCTTCGTGTTCGCCCTGATGTGGGCGTTCGGTGGTCCAATGGTCGTAGACAAGTCAGACGACTACCGCAGGTGAAGCGTAGTGGATATTTTATCTCGTGGTCACTGATCTTGCGCGGCTAGCCTTAAACGAAAGAAGGTCGAGATCGCTTGGATAATCTGCGCCAGCATTTCTCAAGCAGTATTTTCGATCATTTCGAGGCAAACGCCAGGTGCATGGCAAGGGATAACAAAAATACTATCGTTGACACCAACAGGCAATACTAACACCAAAAGGTAACACTGCAATTTCTTCATTGGTGCTCCAGGAAGTTCTCAGAAGAATTCCTTTCGACGTTTGCTGGCCAAAAAATCCCGAAAGAAGGCACCTGTTTCGACTACTTTTACGACTGGCAGAGCGACGGCTTCAAAGGCTGGTCCACCCAGGTGGGATGTTCGGGGCTGTATTGTTTGCGTATGTCCTTGAATTAGTGGTATGCATAGCCGTACTCTCGCGAAAACACGCTAAATAGGCTGTCGGTGATTGATCAACTCTCGTTACGCATTTCGACTCCGTGGTTTGTGCGTTCCCATGGCGTGCACGGCCCCTTCGCGCACCTCAGGTGCCCGACTATCAGCCTATTCCCATTGGCGTTGGGCCCGGTGAGACGCCGTTTAGTCAGCTGGCCGTGAGCACGAATGACACTGTGAGAATGTCGTACATCATGAACAAGCTCGTACGCAGGAGCAAGTTTTTGATGCTCGTGGGTACGGCGGGGACCGGCAAGACATCAATCATCAAGGAGTACCTGCGCAGGTGCGACTTTGTCGACCGACCAAAAGCACGGGTAGACGAGGATGATATGGACGATCGTCGAGCAGGTCATTGCTGACCAGGCTGCATAATGGGGAAGCCTCATTGCATGACGGTCGAGGACACGGCGGGCCACCCCATGCGAAGCTTGCCACAACCATTGACCGTCGTTTTTTTGTGTCCCCCCCCCTCGGGCAGTCTGGACAAGGATGCCGATGGCCTGCTGAGCGTCAACATCAACATGAACTATTTCACCGACTCCGCAGCTCTCCAACAGGTGAACTACGTTCCTGAGATGTTCATGACGTGTTTCAGGTTCGATTGTTCCCATACGAATGGCGAGAAAAATGTCCGTGAGCAGGAACGGGCTACGAAGTATTCCGACACATTTTGCGAGTCAAGACTGTTGCTACAGACACTGCTTGACGAGGATGTTACAATTAATCTCTGAATTTCTCGCGGGCTCGATCTGTTCACCAGGAACTCGAAATGAACATTGACAAGCGCTCTGGCCGAAGGTTTGGCCCGCCCACTACGAAGCGCCTGATTACATTCCTGGACGACATGAATCTGCCCTACGTGGAGACGTATGGAACGCAGAACGCTATCGCGCTCCTCACGCAGATCGTCGGATACGGCACCTTCTTCGACCGAGTCGACCTCGGGTTCCGGAAGGAGGTGAGAAACTGAAAAAAGGTCCAGCTTGCGATGTTCAATCAAATGTCTACGTGCCGCACTGTCTCGTGATGTCGGAACGGCGGGCTCGACGTGAGCGGGGGGCAGTCGTGTGGCCGAAGACGACGTAGCCTCACCTGTATGCCAAGAGCACAGAATACGTACACGTGCCGAGTTTTTTGTTCGCGGTACAAAAAGGAGTCACCGAGCTTCAAGCGAGCAGATCCGACAAGCGGGGCAAAGCAGCAAAAGCGTACTAACCCTGTACAACCTACATCTCTTTGCTTCGCTTTGCTGTTCACAGATCGTGGACGTACAGTTTCTGTCCGCCATGAACCCTACGGCGGGTTCGTTCGAGATTTGCGAGCGCCTGCAGCGCCACTTCGCCACTTTCGCCTGCCAAATGCCATCTGTATCTGATCTGAAGCTTGTCTACTCATCGATCCTGAGCGGACACATGCTCGGTTGGGGAGACTCCATCAACACGATGTGCGCCCGTGTGGTGGACGCCAGCATATTCATACATTCCATGGTGAGTCAGAGTTAAGAGGGGTCTGAGGAAGAGAAGAAACCGTTGGGTGCCTACCATTCAGCACTCAAACGCAGGTCGAGTTGTTTCCCCTTCCTTGTTTGTGATCGCCATTCCTTCTGATGACGTTCCTCACCGACATCTCCTCATTGTTTCCTGGGGCAAGTCCCACTCTTTTCCCGTTGGCTTCCGCGCTCTAAATACAATCCCATGCTTGCCGTCTCTCTTCTTCCTTCTCTTTGTTCTCCACCTTGCCTACGTTTTCCCTGAAAATAGCCCCGCAAGACAGAGATGACAAAATTACCCCAGCTAGCCCTCGCCTCTCTGGTTGTATGTTGATTCAACCAGGTGTCTTCCAAGTTCCTGCCGTCGGCGGTCAAGTTCACCTACAACTGGAACATGCGGGAACTGACCAACATTTTCCAAGGACTGTGTCAGGCATGATGGGGGGTTATTTGAGCATTGAGCTCTAGCTGTTGCATGTATGACGTTTCTGCAATATGGCTCGATTGACGTTGTCTTTTTGCTGTGTGGAGCCAGTTGGATGTTGGTTGCGAAGAGTTCTATGGCAGCGCCGCTCTTGGATGCCCTTCTTCCCAGCTCGCGTAGGGTACGACTGTCGGGGCCAACAAGCAATATCCAAACCTGAAACATGGTGCTTGTTCCTCGTGTTTCGGCAACAGGCGGATCAGGATTCCTACAGCGCGCCACTAGAAATTGCACGGCTATGGGTACACGAGTGTGAGCGAGTGTTCCGCGACCGTATCATCAGTGCATCAGAAATGGAAGTGCTGGATGGCATGATGGGCGAGGCAGCCAAGAAACACCTGTCTGAGTTCCAGGTACACACATACCTTCCCGAAACACGACCTTATTCGATTCCTTGCCTGATGTATTGATGCAAGAGCATAGTCGAGATCAATTTGGCTGCAAAGCACACCCTTCCGCGAGAAGAGAACACGGCATTTCCCGCTGAGGAAATCCCGGCCCCGTCGTTTCCTGAGTCTTGGTTTTAATAGCTCTTCCTTTCTTCTCCGCCCTTTCGCAAACCAGGCCGAGATGTTCAAGCAGCCGGTGATATTCACAACCTTCTGCGGGAAGGGCAACAGTAGCGCGTACACCTGCGTCCCTGATGCACCGACCTTGAAAAACACTCTGGATGGCAAGCTGCAGGAGTACAACGAGAGCAACCCAATGATGGACCTCGTTCTGTTCGACCAGGCTATGGTGCGACGAAACCTTTGCCATTGACAGCGAGAATTGCAGTCCACGTTTGATACCTTATGTGGTGACACGCAAGGGTGTAATTATTCTCTGGGAAGTAGAAGGCGTGAACAGCGTGTTGTTTTTTAAATGCTCGTTTACACGCACCTGTGGGTTGCCGCCGCAGGAACATGTGACCAGGATATGCCGTATCATTCAAAGACCTAGTGGAAATGCCATGCTCATCGGTGTGGGAGGATCCGGAAAACAGTCTCTGTCGAGACTTGCGGCGTTTATCTGCGGGTTTGAGGTCCGACAACTTTCGGTGACGTCGAAGTTCAAGGTGAATGACATCCTTTATCGTGTTAAGCGAAACACGTTGCCTCCGTTTGTTCACTTTCAAGAGGATTGGGACGAATTGGACGTTCGACCGGATGTTGGGCGTTGCCACTTGGGGGGCATCACAATATATCATTGGTCGAACCGTTTTTTGGCAAGGAAGCACGATTGAAAATTCCTTTTGGGCCTTGAACCACAAAGTATGTTTGGGAACGCCCCAAAAAAATGCTGTTAAAGACGCAGTCGTAAACTAATCAGTCGTTTGTCCTGACACCTTTCATCTCAGGTGGATGACCTGAAGGAAGCTCTGCAAGAGATGTTCAAGACGGCGGGAGTAAAGGGAACCCCGTTGCTGTTCCTCATGACGGACGGGCAAATCGTGAACGAGAGGTTCCTCATTTACATCAACGACATCCTCGCCAACGGGTGGATCAGTGATTTGTTCCCTAAGGTAAGGTCTTTTATCTCCTACCGATGTAGTGGGGTACCCTGGAAGACAGAGCGACCAGTTTGGCGCCTTTCGAGGCGACAAAGTGGCCACCTGGCACGCTTACTTGTATCTTAGGACATCCACGGTTTCATCTGGGCAAAGCGTGTCTCATCTCTCTCCAAACCCAACAACAATGGAGCCATGAACTAAGTCCGCAATGCGCACTCCTTCCCAGGATGAAAGGGAAGGGCTGGTAGGAGCTCTACGAAACGAGGCAAAGGCAGCTGGGATTCCGGACACACCGGAAGCTGGCTTGGAGTTCCTCATCTCGAGGATCAAGAGCAATCTCCACGTTGCGTTGTGCTTCTCGCCTGTGGGAGACATCTTCCGGATCCGTAAGACTCTTCAGCTTGATTTGTATCATTCGAACGGCTGAGGCGTATAGTATTTGGCATCAGATAATAATCATCTCGTGAAGTCACCCTCGCGTGGAAACTGAAGCGGTACAAAGGTAAGCGCTTTCCGCCTATTTCGGTGTCAGCATCAGTTGTTTTCCAAATGCAGATGGATCAGCGAATAGCCACATATGTGGGCCGGAATGTTGGCGTGGACAGTGACACGTTTCCCGAAATTTCAGCTCAAAGAGTGCGTGTAGCCGGGGTGCCGAAACTCGAAAAAATTCGAGCCAAACCTACGAACAAATTGTGGTATCGTTTTTTTAGCGGCTGAAACCAGCCTCTCCCCCGCTTTGCAGGTGCCCGACGTTTCCCGGGGCTAATCAATTGTACCTCGGTAGACTTCTTCCACCCGTGGCCAAGACAGGCCTTGATAAGCGTGGCGGCCCGCTTTTTGGACGATGTGGAGCTCGGAGAGTTGTCGGTCAAAGAGGGCCTCGCCGTTCATATGGCGGAGGAGCACTTGTCGGTCACGAAGGTGTGTTGGGTGTCCATAGAGGCTACGAGGAGGCTGGATCTGTTAATGCAGTTCGTCGGCCGATCTCCGGTTGGTCACATGTCAAGACAGAACCCATTTTCGTCCCGTCTGCCGTTCGTGCGGCGTTCCCTCTGGCGTTTCACATCGAAAGGCGTCAACAGAGTACTACGAAACTCAGCGGAGGTACAACTACGTGACGCCCAAATCATACTTGGAGCTGATCGGTTTTTACAAGTTCCTGCTAGATCAGAAGCGGACGGAGGTGCAACGGCAAATCGACCGTTTGGACGTCGGGCTCTCCACACTCCGTAAAACTGCTGCCGATGTGGCTGAGCTACAAGTGGATCTCACCCACACTATGGTCAAGGTATAGACAAAGAACTGCGCGATCGCCTACATCGAACTTCATATTTGCAGTTATTCTCGGTTGGCACGAATGCGTAGGGTGAGGGTAGGCTTGCATACTTGCACGTCACAAGGTGCTCTTTAATGTTTCTGCCAGCTTCGTGCTTGACTCAAAGCGTTTGTCCTCTTGTTCGTTTTTGCGGAACTGGCATATTGCATGCATGTCTCAAATGCTACACTTGCACGCATTATTTGTAGGTGGAAGAGAAAAAGGCTGCCACGGAGGTGCTACTAGAAGAAATGGGCGTGCAGAGAGCCGGTGCTGGTAAGCTTTTATCGCTCGGGCTCTGGTTGAGATTATTCTGGCATGAAGCCATGACAGTACGGTGTTGTAGGGTACTGACTGTCACTACGTATGTGTGATATGGCACGCCGCCGCCCTACAATTCAAGCGAGCGAAACACACACGAGTAAATGATACCTTTGTTTGCCTGCACATTTTCTTGCTATGCTTCAAATTCGCAGAAAAACAGCAAGCTGCTGCTAGCATCGAGGCCGACAAGGCATCCGTCGCCAGTGCTGAAGCGGCTGCAATCGAAAAGGACGCCGAGAAAGAACTAGCCCAGGCCGAACCGGCCATGTTGGCAGCCGCAGAAGCGGTCAACTGTTTGTCCAAGGCCATGCTCACGGAGCTAAAGAGTCTCCCCAAGCCACCGGCAGGGGTAGATAAGGCAAGAATTATGTGCACCACTCATTGTCTTGATCTCATATTCAACACTCTTTGTGCGCCAGAATGGGGTATCCAAGAGATCATTGACTGACTTTTGCTCCCGCGGCGTTTGTTGCCTGGATTCTCCAGGTGACAAAGGCGGTTCTTATCTTGGTGGAGAAGGAGTACAAGAACCACGCTTGGGACCGCGCTAAAAAGATGATGGCCAACGTAGACCAGTTCAAAAACAGGCAAGCTCTTTGACCGATGAAGTCGTCTGCTTCGCAATGTTTACGAGCCACTGCCTCCCAGAACAGAAGGGGGCCACATCATTCGTCCACAAGATCGTGCGGAATCAATCGTCCTACAATATTCATGTGACGTGCGTCACGTACTGAGGGGATGCTGGAGCAATCGGCCCGGCTGCGACCCGCCATTTTTACGATCAGACGGGCAGGTAGAACTCTCGAGTGTACATTGAATTTTTCGTCTTTTCAGCCCATGCGCCCGTAGTGAACTTCGACGGGACGAACATTGTTCTTACTGCGTACTTCGTCACCCTCTCTTTATCCACAGCCTCATGGCCTTCCGCGGCGAGGATATCACCGAAGACGAGATCAAGAAGCTAGAGCCCATTGTGGGGGACGAGACCTTTACTGTGGACAACATGAAGAGCAAGTCGGCCGCCGCCGCCAACTTGTGCTCGTGGGTCATTTCCATCTACACTTACAACCGTATTTACGTGAAGGTGTGTGACAAGCAACTCTTCTGGTGAAGGCAACAATTTCTAGCGGGTTTTCGTTGCCAGACAAGAAGACGAATTGCTTCACAACGAGCGATGGGTAGCAATACGGCACGACATGTTGATACCCAGCCCCAAAAAACAAGAAGCCGAGTAATGCCATTTCACTTTTGTCGAGCAAACGCTACCCACAATTCCGGTTGACCCAGCCATCCCGGAAACGTGACAAATTTACATTGATAGGTGAAACCTCTGATGGACAGCTTGGAAGGCGCTCGTAAAGCCAAGGCGGATGCAGACGCTTCACTCAAAGTTTCCAACGATCTTGTGGCCGCGGTGGAGGCCAAGCTTCAGCAGCTCCAGGATAAGTTCATGGAGGCGAGTTATCTCTTCACTGGAATTTCTCCATCTGTTATCCATTCATACGTTTGCGCCTCTTCCTGGTTCGCCTCGTCTCCCGGCAAGTGGAGGCTTCGTGTGTTGCTGATGATACATAATGCCATGTTTCTGTTTTACAAGACCACACCTCCCCGAAGCTTTGAAAGTTCTTCTTACGTCATTCATCCAACAATCTCCAAGTTTTTCTCTGCAAACAACGAAACCGCTTGCAGGCAACAGAAGAGAAGGCGAAGGTGGAGGCGGAGGCAGCGGCTTGTCTGACTCGTCTCTCCCTGGCCGAGCGTCTTGTCGGTGGCCTGTCGAGCGAAAACGAGCGGTGGGGCAACGAAATCGAGAAGCTCAGGCACAGTGCCACCACTCTCGTCGGTGACTGTATGCTTGCGAGTGGTTTCGTGTCATACGTAGGAGCCTTCGATCAGGCCAACCGGGATATTCTCTGGAAGGCCGTGTGGACCCCTGGTGAGGCGGAAGCATAGACGGCAGAAAGGTCTCTTGTTCCCTTTCCCACCGTGCTGTCGCGATGAAGAAAGCGTTGCATGGTTGGTACGCCCCGTGACTCTTAAAACATGAGGCGACCGAACTTAACAATCCGTATTTGGACTTGATGCCGACTCCCGGACTAGTGAACAAATTCGTTTTCAAAGTGTGGTTTCGCGACGGTGCACAGTCAATGTTGACAAGGGCGAACTCATACTTCTATAACATCTCTTGCTCCCGGAAACAGATATTGAGGAGCGCAAGATCCCACTAACGCCAGGGGTTGATCCCCTGGATCTCCTTACTAACGACGGGAACAACGCCAAGATGACTAGCGAGGGACTGCCAGCAGATCGAATATCGCTAGAGAACGGTTCGGTCATCACGAACTGCAAGCGGTGGCCTCTTATCATCGATCCTCAGCAGCAGGTAACAATCACATCATCGCCTCGTTTGAAACTTCAATATTTTACCGGATCGAAGGTTTGAATACACAGCAATACACCTCTGGACTAGATTCAGTGCTTCTTGTGGACTGGGGAGAACCCCAAATAGAACACCACTAACGGTTTGCCACAATCGTATGTCGCTGACTTCCTGCAAACGTTCCTCATCGGCATCAAATCTTGAACGCGACTAGCTGTGCTTGCCCTTTTTTTCATGTCGACCTGACAGGGGATCAAATGGCTGCGTAAGCGAGAGGAAGACAACGGCCTCTCGGTGATTCAGCTCTCCCAGAAGAAGTGGTTACGAGACGTTGAGACTGCCATCATGAACGGGCAGACTCTCATTATCGAGAACATTGGCGAGGAAATCGACCCGACCCTTGATCCCGTGCTTGCTCGCGCTATCTACAAGAAGGGGCGGTACGTCAACACCAAGCTCACATACTACTAGAGTGTCGGACGAAGAATACTCACTGACGTGACCCAAGTTCGTTCTCGATATTTCGCTTGATGTGGGGGCTGATAACGCTCGGGCTTTCGCGTATGTCTTTCTGTTACTTTTGTTAGATCCCTTTTCCTCAAGTTGGGTGGGGAGGAAGTCGAGTATGACCCCGGCTTCCAGCTTTACCTGCAGACGAAGCTATCCAACCCGCACTACAAGCCGGAGATCGCAGCACAGGTGCGTTATACCGGAAAAATGATCAGTCCTCGCGTTTATTTGGACATACTCCTGCCGGTAGTGCACTCGAATGTCACGTGGACATGGGTGCCTGCGATAGTGCTCAGGCACATCGTCGCTTAATAGCTGAACACTGCCTGTGAAAGCAACAGGAGGATGTGGACCTTATGGGCGTTCCGCTGCAAAGCTCTACTCTATGTCGAACAAGCAACCTTGGGACTTAAGCAAGCCTCTTGTCGACGCTGTGCTTCCTACCGCCAGTGCACATTGATCAATTTCATTGCCACCGAGAAAGGTCTCGAGGATCAACTTTTGGCGAAGGTGGTGGGGGTTGAAAGACCTGAGCTGGAGAAGCAGGCCCAGGAACTTCAATCAGCTTTCAACCAGGTGACGCATACCTGTATTTTTTTTCCTTTTGTCTTTACTTCAAATCAGCTCTCACAGCACCGGTGCCGTTTCTTCCAACCCGTGGTCACACAGAAGAGCCCCTCTCTACCCTCCCCTCCTGCGGTAGTTTGCCTTCGATTTTTAATGCAAGAAGAGTTCAGCACTCTCTTCCCTCTGTGTACACACGAACTAGCGCAATCCACTAGGCCTGGAGCGGAAGCGAGAGAAAAACTCACTTTGCAAGAATAGCTCGCTTACGCCGAGATTCGAACCCCTAACCTGACCTCTAGAAGGTTTCGGGGATACCAACTAGACCACCGGGGACAGAATACAGCACGCTCGAAAATCGAAACCACCATTCGATTAACGGCGATGAGGAAGCCAGGAGCTCTTGGGTGCTGGTATCAACCAACAGAGCTACGCGTGCGAACTTCATGCGTGCATTGTTTCGATACGCACTAGTATATGTATTGTGATACCAGAACAAATTTTCAACGTCACGCTTTTCGAAAAACCATGTGTATGTCGTTGCGAATCCTTAAGTTTGACAGCGTCCCGTTTTATCTCCAACCCATCACCGCTTGTTGTTTTTCCTCTCTCCCGTAGTACAAAATTCAGTTGGTTCAGCTGGAAGACGACCTACTGGAGAGACTGGCAAATGCACCCGATGACATCCTGAGCGATGTCCCTCTTATCGAGGGACTGGAAGCAACTAAGGTGCGGGATATGACTCACGTAAAGTAGCTCGAAGTCCAGAAAGTTTGGTACTTCAATCACCAACGAGTGCGTTTGTGCATGCTGCGCCACTGACACGCGATACAACGACCAGCGCACTGTTGTACCGCGTAATGGTTCGAGTCAACGAACTCAACATGATAATTCCTACATTGGGGTCTATGTAGTTTTGCGTTGTCCTAAACCGTCTCTTGCCATCATCTTTGAAACGGCCGAAAAACTGGTGCAGGCTGCAGCCAAGGAGATTGCTGCTGCGGTAGAGAAGGGCAAGCTGACCGAGATTGAAATCAACGTGGCTCGCGAGCTGTACCGCAAGCAAGCCACGGAAGGAGCCATGCTTTACTTCCTCCTCACTAAGCTGTGAGTTCTGCGGGTACCTCTCACGTCAAAGTTGTTTTCTCTGCGAGGTAACATCGATTAGTTCGCCACTGGCTTCATGTAAGCTGCGGAATACAATTTGGGTTGCGTACAGCGTAGAATGGCAAGCAGGGAGACTTTACTAGCTAACCAAATCCCGCACCCGCAGGGAAGACTTGCCTCACGCACAGTAGCTAGTCCGTCAGCCCTGGCGAAGTTTGCGCTGTGAACTGGCAACGATCAACGATATTAATGCTTCGCGTGCTGTCTTTGCCAACGCTCCTCGTCCGAACAAACAGATGCCTCATCGACCATATGTACCAGTACTCGCTGGACTCTTTCGTGACCTTCTTCCTCAAATCCATTACCAAGGCCAAACCGTCGGACACGGTCGACGGGCGAGTTCTTAATTTGCGCGACGCCTTGCGCATGACCATCTTTACCTGGGTCAGCAGAGGATTGTTTGAGCGCCACAAGCTGATTTTCCTGTCACAGTTGGCCTTCAACCTGATGAAGAGAGGAATCCTAGGAGAGGAAAGCATTATCAACGAGATTCACTTCCAGTTCCTTCTTCGAGGACCACGAAAGCAGGTGCAATACGGTATTTCGCTGTTGATTGTGTTACGCACCTGTACATCTTAGTACGAAATGTTTCGTTCTGTTCCTGTCTAAGCACGTACGGCGTCCGAACCTACGATTAATACGGCGTCTGAAATGTAGCATGTGCATGCAAAAGCTACAGCGAAGCCAAAGACGGAAAACAAGGGGAAAATCACGTCCGGGCACACATCACCATCTGCTGCGCTGAGCTTCACACTTCTTGTTTTGTCACAGTACGTTACTGTTTACCACGAAACCTCTCCGAATGTAGGTCACCTTTCACATCGGAAGGCTGGCAATACAACTTAATGATTTTACCAGGTTCGCATGGAGACGGAGCCTATTGTTCAACGGGATGCGGTTGGGAAACCTGTTGCGAGGTGGTAGTAGACAGGCGGAGCGATGGCTAACGCACAAAACCCCGTACAATGACGCTTGGCCTACTCTCGCAAACGTGGATAGGTGGACGACAACCCTCTACCATGGCTGCCAGAACCAGCATGGCAAGGGGTGTCAGCTTTGGGAGAGTTAGAAGAATTCGCTAAGTTCAGCTCTGACCTTGTGGAAGCTGGTCCGCGTTTCCGAGAGTGGTTCAACCACATCACGCCCGAAACGGAAAAGCTCCCACTCGACTGGTACGCGCGCCCATGCCTGCTGGTCTACCATAGGATATCTCTCAACCGGTTTGTTCTGAATGTTGCCTCCACGCTCCTCTGGTTAGTCACTAGAAGTCCCTCTATTTTTGAAAGATCGAACAACCCTATCGTGCTTCTGTGGGTAGTTTCCTCTCAGCCATGGGCATTTCCAAGCGAATAACCTTGAGGTCTCCAAACAGGATGAGGTCATTCCACCTGCACCGCAGGCATGCAACACAGCACGCTTAATTTCATGATCTAGACATTATTTGATACGTTTCTAATTGGTTCTTCCAGCAATTGTCGACGACCCTGCTTGTCCGCATACTCCAACGATGTCTGCGTTTGTACTCTTGCGGTACGTTAAACTAAAAACTGCAGGGCAAGCCTGGACCGCGTGCCGTTCCAGAAAATGCTGGTAGTACGCTGTCTTCGGCCAGATCGAATGAACACGGCCTTATCCAACTTCATCCGGGGATCTCTGCCGGACGGGAACTCTTACGCAGACTGCGACTCCACGCTCAACTCGTTCCAGGTATGCACGCTACTACACAAATCAATCAAAATATCTTCATCCTTACCTTGCTTGCTGCAAATGGCACACGAACGAAGCCAAGAACCAACGCTAGCCTTCTATGATTGTTTCTCCGCTCGTGGTAACACTAGTCATTTTCCGTATCGGTCGCTTGTGATTCAGATCCTGGAAGAGTCATTCCTGGACTCGACTACGACTACGCCAATTTATTTCATCTTGTCGCCGGGTGCTAACGTGGTGGGAGATCTTGACAAATTGGCCGATAAATACGAGTTCGTGAAGAACGAGTCGTATCACAACGTGTCCATGGGACAAGGGCAGGTAAGGCATAGCTACCAGTGCAAAATCGCGCAGATCCGACTCGGTCGCCATTTTTGTAATCGGTCAGCCACACGCTGCGTTTCTGGCCTGCCCATAGACCACATTTCGAAGGAGCTTCACACTACCCTATATGTTGTGTTCTACGGGTCGCACCTTAGCCTCGTGCACATCGACCGTATTGTGTGAATACCCAACTCATTCATGGAATTAATTTCTGGCTGCATACGCCTCGTGACGTGTGCCCGTTATCAGGACGTTGTGGCGATGTCTTGCCTTGAACTTGCCCACCGCAACGGGCACTGGGTGATCCTCAATAACATCCACCTCATGCCGAGCTGGTTAATCGAACTCGAGAAGAAGTTGGACGAGTTTGCTCTGGAAGGGAGTCACGAAAAGTTCCGGCTTTACCTTTCCTCCGATCCATCCAACGCCATTCCTATCGGCGTGCTCAGCCGCTGCATCAAGCTCACCAACGAGCCTCCGGCAGGGCTGAAGGCGAACCTCAAGCGAGCTTTCGCCAACTTCAGCCGAGAGTACATCGAAGAGGTGATTGGGCACTTGTCGGCAACACCCGAACCTCTGAAAAAAAGCATTGCATTCGTAGGCTGATCGCTACCTGGTGCGTTCACGTTTTGATCACAACGTCGTTTATCACTTGCGACCGTTGTTTGCCAGTGGCTCACCACTACGAGATGCTATAAGGATGGAATCTTCCGGCGTTTACAAGTAAACAACTGGGCTCACACGTTTGTGTCGACAAACCAATGGGTCCCCTCGTGTTACGCCATGTCGTAGGCGGACAGCAAGACGAAAAGCATTTTGTTCGGCCTGTGCCACTTCCACGCCATAATGATGGAGCGTAAGCTGTACGGGCCCATGGGCTTCAACATGATGTATCCATTCTCCATTGGCGACCTGCGCGACTCCGCCGTGTGCCTCACCAACTACATGGAGAACTCGGGCGGGGGGAAAATCCCTTGGCAAGATCTGAAATACATCTTCGGGGAAATCATGTACGTTTGGGGAATCATGTACGTTGTAGTGCCTGGTTAGTGTCGGTGCGTTTGGTCTGTGCTACGTCCCATGGCTCACTACGTATATGTGCCAAGACTCTATCCAATTGCCTGGAGTGACTTGCGCTCTGTGTCTTCGATGATGCCCACGCAGGTACGGTGGTCACATCGTCAACGATTTTGATCGACTACTGGCCAACGAATACCTTGATTGGTACATGAAAGACGAGCTTTTGGATGAGACAGAACTATATCCCTTCGCTGAAGACGAGAAAGGCGTCAGTTTTCTGGTGAGACGATGCGGTCCATATGTGCACAAACAGACCCCACAGATATGTGAACGTCGTAAGGTCTGTGCTGAGGTACATAGACGAACAACGGTATCATCTCGGAGATCAAGCAGCCCTGAGAGAGCTCTGTGTGCCGATAAGTGGCATCCCACGCAACGGGCAATTGTTTTTCTTGTCCTTTCAGTCCCAAACTCGTGAAATTCAGCTATTCTTGTCCTAGGAAACTGTCTCTCGGATCGTGTTCACAACCATAGCTGAAAGCACAACAAGACATACGCATACAATTGTAGAGTCTGTTCAATAGTGTAGGACTATCGTACCAGAATTGCCTTCCTTTTCGCATAAAAAATTTGTTAGTTTCACCGCTACCTGCCCTTTGCCGTCGTCTCGTTTGTTTTTCCAGTCTCCCCCCCCGATGTCGTACGACAAGTACCTGGAGCATATAGACACTACCATGGGCGCCGATACGCCAATCGCCTTCGGCCTTCACCCAAACGCCGAGATCGACTTCCGTACCCAGCAATCAGATACTATGTTCAAGGTGCGAAATCAGGGAAGACGGATGAAAAAACTCGCAAGTATCAGTATCTTGTCATTGTCCTTTAGGAGGAAACATACGAAAGTCAACAACCTACTACAGACCTTGTCCAGAAGTCATCCCGTTCAAAGAGCAACGGATCATGCGAAATTTAGAAACGGACGAATAACAGGATCACAAAATCTTTACAGCGTAGTATTCACAGTAGACGTGAAATGGCTGGCCGTAATGGAGCTCCTTAACTGATGGAGCTCCTTTACAAGAGACCTGCCAGCGATTGGTGAGACAGCTATTCGTGAGCAGCAGATGTCAACGTTTGCTACACATGCAATTACTGTTGGGCCAGCCCAGCCCGTATAGTGAAGACCCTTTGGTACCGCTTTTATATCGCGCATCCATGGACGACTCGCGTTTACACCGAAATGTGCCACCTAGCTCAGCATGTCAATGGTGCAAATAGCACGCATTTTCTTATCTCTTGCTCTGCGTTCGATCTCCTTTGTACCTGCCGTAGACACTGATGGAGCTACAACCTCGTGATGCGGCATCGGGAGAGGGCATCATGTCTCCCGAACAAATGGTGGGAGGCATGTCGGAGACTATCCTTGACAAGTTCGGGGAGAAGAAGTTCGACGTCGAGGACATTGGGCGGTCACTCGAGGAAGCTGGTCCCTACCAGAATGTCTTCATGCAGGTAACGGCGTCCCTGAGCGCGTACCATCGTGCCTTCACACGCCGACAACGCAAACACAAGGAGTAGACGACCCGCGAACGAAAATGGACGGTTGACAATATCTAGCGGTCGCTGAGAGCATGCCCATGACTACTACCCTCAACTGGGAACCTCTTGTGGCCAGGATGGGTAATTCGATGGAAGAGTCACAAGGCCTCTCTGTAGGATCGACTCCAAGAGGTGTTCTCAGGACTGACAAACATTGTGTCCTTGGGAAGATATCCAAGTCAAGAGAAAAAGTGTGCACCCAAGGAGATTCGAACCAGTATCTAGCTGACGCCGTATGCGAAGGTGTACCGATCCAGGTAAAAGTCAATCGACGGATACCTTGCAAATCGGGTCCTCCTTAACACAGACTCGTTATCCGCGTGGTTTCCGCCACACCCCCATTCCATTGCATGTTTTGGACGACAAAAACCCCAGGAAATGGACGTGATGAATACACTTCTGGCGGAGATCGTTCGGTCGCTCAAGGAGCTGCAGTTAGGATTTGCCGGGGAGCTCACAATGTCCGATGCGATGGAAGGGCTCATGGATGCTCTTTACCTGGATAAGGTGAGGGTGGCGCTGGCATAACGTAGACATAACTAACTCACCGGGCCACTATGTACTGTATTACGCGAAGGGTTATTTCCGTGGTCGTTGCGATATATCATTTGGCTAGCTTGTACAGCGGAGGTATTGGTACTCTCTGCCTACCATTTTTTTTATATTGGTGCCGTTTGTTGGTCGACCAAGGTCCCTGCGACTTGGGCCAAGCGCGCCTGGCCAAGTTTGCGACCTTTGGCAAGTTGGTTGGCGGATTTCACTCTGAGACTAGGGCAGCTGGAGGAGTGGCAAAACAACCCAATGGAGGTAAGAACTTTGGTCGGCCAGTGCACCCCGAAATGTGAGGATGGTGTAGGAGAACTCTCACTCAGATGGCAATGCGTGGGCTCTGTCAAAATGCTTCACTCTCGCTCTGTTTTCGATGTCTCAGCAAGCACCGACGACACACTGACCGTCGAAATAATATTAGACTCTGGTTTGCCCTCGAGAGATATTGTCGTGCTGAATCATGCTACCTTTGCGGCATCGTGTCGCTCTGCACGATGCCACCGGGCGTCCAGATTCCGAAGGTGACATGGATCTCGGGGTTGGTCAACCCGCAGTCGTTCCTGACTGCCATTTGTCAGGTGGGTGCTGCCCTTGAGCCCGGCTTGTTGTTTGAGCATGGGTACACAAATAGAATAACTTCGATCACCACCTTCTGTGGAAATTTAGCTTTGTATCGCGCGGAACAGATGGCATAGTGCACTGATGAGCACGCGGCGGAAGTTGAGCGACTCTGGTGCACAGTGTAGTCGCGTAACTATTATGTGCACTCGGAGATGCCAATGGCGAACCCCCCATGCCCACGCATTGTTCAAGCCAAACATGTGTTGCTTCTGATTCCCAGGTAACCGCCCAAAAGAATCAATGGGAACTGGACAAGCTGCAGACGCAAAGTGAGATGCTCAAAAAGTTTGCGGTGGACGAGGTGGACTCTCACAGCAAAGAGGGGGCATACATCATCGGCCTCAGCATGCAGGGGGCACGGTGGGACCCCAACTCGGTCAGCATCGAGAAGAGCAAGGCAAGAAACGGCCTAGAGATGGTTCCACTTGGTCAGATTGTCCCGCTGTCCCGAATAGCTCTACGGAGCTTGGAAAATGGTTGCGTGGTCCCATCTCAATACAACGGTATTACATTGTCCAGAGAGAGGAAAAAGTCTGGTCCTATATACACCGTGCGGCGATCGACGGGTCAGATCAGGCCAGGAGGAGAAAGCATTTTTTAGCGCATTTCCGACTTTTCCGGGTGGACACATTCTCTGTCCACGCGCGGCATGCACTTTTGTGGAAGCGCACTGCTGTCGCAAAAAGATGTCCGCACAAAAGCACCGTGCCAACACCTTACACAAGTGCCTTCGTATTTATGTGCATCTGTTCCCCACACGTGCAGCCAAAGGAGATGTTCTGCTCGATGCCCATCATGAGCGTCAAGGGTGTGGCGGCAGATCGCGTGGACACCCAGGGGATTTACCTCTGCCCGTGTTACAAGACGGAGCAGCGAGGCCCCACTTATGTGTTCTCCGCCCAGCTTAAGACCAAGTCGCCGGCGGGCCGATGGGTTTTGGCTGGTGTTGCGCTGATCATGGATGCGGCATAAAACTTGCTTGCGTTCGTGTATTTGCTCACGCATAGGCTGCATTTTGTGTGTGTTTGTTTTGTGTCGACTTTGGGGTCTCCCGTGTTGTTCAACGTGTTGCTTGGGGGACATTTCCCGCATGCGGAAGACGTAGATGGGACGAAAGCACACAAACAACAGACGCATAACACGTACCAATGAGTGCCAAAGTGAGGATTGAAATGTTGAGGGGTGTGGAGCTTGACAGATGGTTCCTCGGAGAGTTCTCATCTCCAACAAGGTTGCTTGTATTGAGCGTTTTGGACGGCTGAGTGGCACCGGGTTCAAAACTAGTGGGGCAATAGACGGTAGGACTTGTGATAGCTTCGAAGAGTGGCCATGAGGAATCGCACGAGCGTGCCGTATCGCTGTAAGGAAATGTTTCACGTCAGAGAGCGTTGACAGGGAAACTTCAAGATTGCTCCCCAGGGCAACCAACACCTTTTCCTGCTACAAATCTCCACGGCAAGGAATGGCACACACGATACCATAATACGAGAGGTGGGGCCTTCTCACCCTCTGAGCAATACGACCTGCTTCAACCTTATAACACGAACATCTTCGATACTCCACATGTTTCAGCCATGCATGCGTCAACGCATCAACGGACTCTGCGATTGTAGCACCCTCTGCCCGTCCACAATAACCGTCTGAAATCTGTCCATGCGGCAACATCGACTATGGTCGTCTCTAGCAGACTACTCAGCGATTGCTTCACAAAAAGTTTCTGGATATTGATCTTGAGAACTTCGAGTCCAGCTCGTGGGACTTTTGCACCAGCTCTTCGTACATCTGGCAAACAGCAAACACGGGGCGGCAAAACAACAAGTTTCAGACTTGTAGTAGTGCGACATGGAACCCGCTAACAGAAGGAAAAACATCCCCGATGCTGGAGGAAGGTTTTGCGGAGATTGAGACAAAAGCACCCGTAATATCGTGAAAAAAAACTAAAGGAAGCCCGTGAACTGTATCCTGTGAGCTTCGTTGTATCTTGTATTGAACAACATACCCCAGACCCCAGACCCCAGACAAGCCCCCAGCTGCGCAGGAACACATCCGTGTTACAACCTACCACATTCGAGTTAGAATCAACCCGGAGGGCGTTGTCTACGGTCGCGTTGTCCCTCGACCGCAGACTTGTGCCAGGTAGAAAAGCAATACAAACGCTCTAGGCAACGAGTCTTTGGAATGAAGCAATTCACCTGGGGGGTAAATTTTTTTCGTTGCTCGAAGTCGTCCTCTCGGCTCCAGGAGAAGGTCTTCTTGCCGCCGTCCCTTCCACCCGCCGCCTTTTTGGCTTTGCTGACGTCGCTTGCGTGCCTCTCCACCAGTGAGGCGCCTCGCGCCTACGGCCAATAGGGGGGTCAAGCACCAAAAGCCACCTTTCAATGATGGTCGTTCCCGAGTATTTGATGTTTTAGAGTTCATCCGATTGAATGTTTGCCAACCATAATTTCCACTCTTGACGCAATATGTTGAGAGTTGACACTATACCAAGGTTCATACGAACGCGTGGAAAAGAGGAATCCAGGCAATAAATTTAGCGTAAAAAAAATGTGCGAAAAAAGCTCCATTTTCGTAAATTTACCTCGAGACGACCCCCAAAACGACAACATATTGTTCCAATTCGTCCAAATCCGTGCAGCCCCTACAAACATATCCATTAAATCAACGTGGTGCCCTCTGGAATACGTCAATATACCTTTTCTAAATCAGTTCAAGACTGGTGATAAAAATAATCATGACCCCAACTTCGAACAGACACAAAAACACACACAAAAAAAATGACCGAAACGCGATTTGTTGGCAACGAAACCCAAACCAACGCTGCCCCTTCAAAAAGACCCGCCTGGAACAGAGATTGCAGACGATGAACACCAAGAGGATGCGTTATTCACTTGGACTAAAATTATTGAGAGACTCCGGCACATGTATGAAAGAATCAACCGCATGCACTACATACGATGGATACGCACCGAAAGCAACATTTCCCGACTGAAAAAGGGCCCCGACGTCGGGATTCCGGAAGGAATGAGGAGCCCCAAACCACGGCACATGCGGCACGACCTACCGGGAACGCTACAAGCGGGTATGTATATCAGCAGCAAACCAGGACACTCGACCGCTCAACTTTGCATGGATTTGAAAAATGTACAAGCACGGGCGGAACAGTTTGCAAGTGTCACTCATACCTCCCGGTGCTTGGCCATGAGTTCCTCCGCCGCCGCTTCAGCTTCCATCTCTGCTTTCGATTTCGGTGCTTTCGGGGCATGAAGATCCGCACGCGCACCTCTCGCCGAGCGACTAAACATAACGAGAGCACGACAGAGAGGGGGAGAGGGGCGAAGACAAGAATAATCCTTGATAAGCGTCAGTCAGAAGAGCGACCGGCTAAGTTCGGAATGGAATTGTTACCCAGTCGTTGAAGGGCAGACACACGGTGTGGAAAACCCCCACCGTGGTGTGAGCCTCCGTCGTAAATCGCACTGCGGCAAGCTTGCATCGTACGATACGATACGCAATTTCGGAGCCTCCTCCGTCCCCGGTCTCAGCAAATATTCAAAAGTACAGCACCAATCATATGGTGGCGGCTGACTTACGTTTGGAATTTACGATTGGTAGGCTGCAAGGTCTTGATAGCGCCTAATACACCGAGAGACTTGGGCGGCACGAGCATCCATTCCTCCCGACCAACCTCCGCCTCCTGTAGAAAGGAGAGAGAAGTAAAATTGATTTGAATATATACATTTGTTGATGGAGCGCGATCGACGTTGCAAGAAAAATGTTGATACTCCACAAGCTATCATGCATACTCACGCACTAACACAGAACGAGGTCGTTCAGCAATGCGCGTGGAAACGACTTCGCGTTTGCCGGCAATAATACAGTATCTAGCACCGCAGCAATCGAATTTCGACCGAGCATAGACCCCGAAAACATTAGGAACATGAACGGAGCACAAGCTCATCAAAACGACAGCACAAGTGGAAAGCAGCCAACACGCACCGTGAGGTGCGCTAGACCTGGGTAAGAACCACACACGCTAGTCCGTCGATCGTTCTCACCGCCTTGTCGAGTGCAGCCTGTCCTCCTGTGATAATACCAGTGGCATTCTCCCACTCGGCCGCACGCTTCAATTCCTGCCGTTTCTGCCGTTTGGCTCGGTTTGGGTCCGCTCTGATGATTCACACAAGCACGACGCTAACGGTGATGGATGACATGACAAAATTAATGCTGCTCGCAAGTGCACTGAGCAGTGCAACACAACTAAAAACCTAAACTCAAGGCAATGCCTATGAGAACGAAAAACGTACCGCTCGGATGCGACGCGTTTCTCTTTGCCGGCGACGGACGGCCCGAATTGATCTTCATCGTCGTCAGAGGAGGACTCCTGCTGCGCGGCAAACCAACGGATATTCAAAATTTGAAGGAAACACTTGCGCCCCCACCCGAAGCAGACTCCTGATACCAGCAATATCGAAACTTGGTACCACATCTCACTGGGCGGTTGACGACGAAAAGTTCAAACAAGTCACAGAAAGGGAGAGAGACCAAAGTCATGGCCACCGTCCGTCGCACCTCCTGGACAAAGTCCTTCGCTGCCTGTTGTGCCTGGGCAAGCATGGCTTGGGAAGGCATGGCTGGACCAATAGGGGCCCTACGAGGTGCCGGGCCATCGTTTTCGCTCCCCTCGTCGTCGCTGCTGTCTTTGGCCTTACTCTGCTCGCCACCATACTCCGCAATCACCTACTATATCAGCGTTGTAGGTCAACGCCAGGGGAGGGACGATACGCGGATGCGATATTGTCATCCATCAAGAAAGAGATGTACAGACCCCCTTGCCAATTAACCGAAGAACTTAAGGCATGTGAAGGTCGAGTTAAAAAAATACGCCAAGCTTAACTTGGGGTCATTACACCGAAAATGTATTCCGCCTTGCTTGCCTTTTTGATGACAGCTTCACTGTCTTCATAACCCCGATCAGGTATGCCGTACCCGGCTTCCCCGCCATCTCCTGCTGTCCGTGGTTTTAGTCCTATCGCTTCAAACAGAAGGGTCAAGGCGGTCCTGTACCAAAGAACGCAAGTGTTTGACAAAATGAGGGAATTGGACATGCGACATACGAGACACACGAAACGCGTCAGAAACAACTGCCTCAGCGTAACGTTACATCGGAAGCACGCGAACAACAGAATCAAGTAAAAGCAGACCCGTGGTCACCAGTGTACGTACCGCAACACGGAACCACGGAGGTGAATACGTGCATATCACCTGATTCTTTCGTCAGGAAGCCCCTCAAGCATGACAAGTTCACCCCCTAAAATCTGGTCCAACAGTCCAGGCACTTCTTCGCGTACACCCTCCATTCCTTGCGCGCCTGCCAAGCGATCCACCACCTGTGAAAGCGCCGAAGCGACGATTCCGTCAGCACGCGAGAGCTAGCAGGTCCTCGACGAGGTGGGACTACAGACAAGCCTTTTCTTCTGGCGGACGGTGTGAGACCGCGTGGCGAGGAGAACACAAGACAAGATTTCCGTATTCTCGCAGGTGTGGAAAAAACGTTGCCTGAACCCCAGGGATCCGCCATTGAGTTGACATTTCGAGTTTTCATCGCCTCCGTTCCCTAGGAAAGCCTTTTCCAGCGAAGGAACAAAAAATGACACCTTTTTCGTGTTTCTGCGCAACAGAGGGATATCCACCAAACAGAAACACATGCCGGCGTGCGGGCGAGTGGTTGAGTGAGAGGTTTTCTCAAAATAAACAATCGGGCCCGCGGCCCGAGGCTCAGCGCTGACACTGTACCCGTCCTCCACCCCAGAACTACCCCCGGGGTTCGCGATTTACACAAAAACACATTGCTGCCACCACCAGGGTGAGGATGAGACAGTAAACTTCTAACGTGGCGTATGATGCATTGGTCGTGATCGATACCGTCTCAGAAGGTAGCACGTGCGCGACACCCGCTGTACAGACCCCGGTTCAACATTCCATTACTGTAAACCTAAAACCCATGATCCACACATGTCGACTCTCTCCGTTCGTACTTGCCTCCTTTGCTGCGTTAAACGCCGCCTCCCTGTCAAGCGGAAGAGGCTCCGCCAAGTCCTGTTCATCCATTAATGCGGCGACACCCCGCAACACCCCGCCACCGCTACATCGAAAAGATTTGTTTCCCTTTCCGGCAGGGGCAGTAAGTCCGAGTGCAGTCAAGAACGCGGCGAGCTGCGAGCGCAAGGTGGCATCTTTGACTCCGTCGACAAATACCGTCTCTCCTTCGTCTTAGACGTCGGCGTCACGTGTAATGTTCAGGATTCGTTTTGAAGGGAAACAGGAAGAACGTCAAACATTGTTACGTTTGCGGAAGAGCCTGGATCTGTTGAAACACGCTACATGCTGCATTGCCGGGAGTGCTTCGCGTGATGCCACGTGTGTTCGGTATGAGCACCAGGAGCTTTTTGTTGAAAGCGCGGCGGATCACGTATAAAACAATTATAATAGCGGCTATCGTAGACACCTTGGGCCTACATGCCGGAAACCGATGCCGTATGCTGCGCTCTCCTCGCTTGCCGGGGGGCTCATGGCTTCATGTCTTTTCGTCATCATTGGTCACTCGGGTGCGTTGTTTCTACAGTACGCCTGACAACCCACAGCCGCAAAGATCTGGGGAGTATCAATTGTGCCTAACAAGAGAGGTGGATCAATCCACCGGATCAATCCAGCTCGATACTGCCAGCTATGTGTTCGTCGCGAAGTCGGCCGCGTTCAGTGTGAAACGTCGCATGTATCTACCGAACTCTGATTTATTTGTTGGTCGCACCATCTGGTGGGAAATCTTCGGGCGGAGAATCATGCGGCGCCTACGCGCAAAATGCGACAGACATTGATTTCACATTTGATTCTTTGAAAAAATAACGCAACTAATAGCAGCAGGGCATCCTTCCCTCGCTCTGTGTCTGTCGGCCTGTGTGCCTCTCCTTCCCGCAGCGGCCGGCACGCGTGGTGGTCCGACTGCTGGATAGCTGAAACAGGAGTACAGCAGGATTATATGCCGTCGATGCAAACACAAAAGACGTATCAAAGAGGCAGAGATTAAACTTCAGAAACAAATAGATGGCAGAAATTGACTGATTGCTCACCAAGGGCATCGAGGAGTTCCCCAAGCTCGTTTGCCAACGACGGAGCGGCAGCTAACATGGACACGAGCAATTGCGCCGCTTCCTGGACGGACAATCAGCCGGGTCGAAATGAGGAGGATTAGTGTTGCGAAGCGCGAATCATTCCTCATTCTCTGCGGCATGAACAATTGCAGCGCCATTAGACGCACCTCTTTTTCTGTAGCCGTCAGATTCTTCATGGTCGTTTAACAGAGAGAGTGCAAGTGAGTGCAAGGCAGAACGAGACTCACTGGACTGGTCACGTGGTCACGAGACTGCTGTGTGTTTGTGTGTTTTGCGGGGGGCGACGGGCGAAGAGATGGGGATTGTGAGGTATGCTATTCGCGTCCCCCCTTCCCAAGCCAAGCCAGAGCCAGCGACAGTGACAGCGCCATCGACTACGCGACAACAGAGACCGAGCACGAAACCCCACACTCCAGCGTCATCATGGCTACGAGAGCGCAGCCACGAACAGCCCTGGCGACGATGGTCGCTTTTGGTGCAGGCGTCGCTTATATCCTGTGGCGAAGAGCGGGCTCGATGGGGGTGAGGACATCATTACATTGCCGCTCTCTGCCTTAGGAAACACCACACATCTTCCACCCCGTACGTGTTCTGACGCTATCATAGTACTGCATGGCATCTTTGTGAACTTCGAGCTAAACTCAGCCTCGATTTGGACCACTCAGGGACTCACGAGTCTCGTATCTAACAACTCTAGCATTTCTAATTTCCACCGCAACTACACCAATTGTGAGTTTTGGTTACAACACCCAGATTGCACCCACAGAGGGGCCGAACCAACCTGCTCTATGGACGGCATTGTTGCGTTTGGTATTTGATGGCCGATCATGGAACTTGAGAGCCCTGCGTAGTTGATGTGGACCGACGGGGCTTACGCCAACATGCTACACACCCGTATACCTTTGAACAAACGATTACCAACATGCGGTACGAATGATAATCGTGCGTTTGGCGCCCTCAAGAATCACGACAGATGTAGTCGCTTTGTTTGTGAGCACCTATTTACCGAGATGTCCTTCGGACTGCCCCAGCCTCCCCCAATGGGTTGGGCCACCCGTTCCAAAATTGCCCGGAAAACTGCACAAGAGTGGGGTCGCGGGGTTATGTTTTGTTTTGAGAAGCAATACCTAATTCATCTTGTGTTGTTCAAACTCGGACGGAAAATGGCCCGCCTGCAGTCGTTAATTCAAACTGCCAAGAGTGCCATGGACGCGAGGAGCAGGGATTAGGTCGCACACAGGACACTCGCGCAAGTTTAGCGGAAGTTTATATGGTGGAGGGTTGGTTCCCGGTACTGCTGGACGTCACTATTTTGGTGCAGCCTGTGGGTGTCGGATACGCCTGTACTGCTGTTGTACTTTTTTTCTGAAGCACACTCACACACCCGGCGGGACACACAAGCGAAGTAACGTCTCTCATTCCTCCCTCTCGGCTGACAGGGTGGACAAGCAGCGTAGCTGTACATCACCAAATGTATATTACCAGCCTGTGTGTGGTTTGTGGGTGCTGCGCCTCTATCTCGCTTTCGGCCGCCCGGGTGTACAGCGGTAGGAGCGATCGGCCTCTCTTTTTCGTCTGTTGCCCCTTCGTTTTCTCGCTCGCTGGCCTCTCTCCTGAACACGACCGGCACGCACACCCATGTGCCACCTTATCTCTCGCTTCCAGTCAGACATCTATTCAACACTCATATCTCTTCTTTTCGTGGCATTTCGAAGCTTAATAGTAAAAACTTGAAGTTGGCCCCGGGGCTAAAATGAAAACGTGTTGGACAAAGAAAACCCCCGTTCCTTGTTGGAGTTGCCCCGCGGGCAGCTTTACGCAGTTTGAGGTACAAGCAAGACCACGGGAACATCTTGTGGAGCCTGCACAAATCTACACTTGTGAACGGCACTGCTCCAACAGGGGAGCTGATACATTGATGTGATTCATTGTGTTGTTTTCGTCGTACGCATACGGCATATTCTCACTCGCCACCTCCACATGGCGCTTTCTGTCCCAATCCGTGCGTTCCTTGCAGGACGAGGAAATGGAGGAGTGGGAGCCAGTTGACCGATCTCATGTGGTGAAGTTCTTCCAAATCCTCAATCAGCAATTGCACCAGAGCATTGTAAGATGAGCAGGCCCGTTAGGCCAGTGAGAGGGCCATTCCATCACGCCTGCCGGAGTATTTCGCAAACATCCCCACACTCGTATCATTGGCGGGGGGGGGGTCTTGCCTAGACGAACCCACGGTGGGTGTACGCTTCGCTGTCTCAATTTCACCAGTTCTGATTACTGACTGGTGGACGCGCGCCTCCAAACCTGTGCGAGGCTGAGGTGCTCAAAGGTGCGCAAGCATGTTGGCATCCAATCCCAATCCTTCTCGTGGGGCCCCTGGATTGTTCTTCCTAAGCTGTGCTGCCTTTTCTTATTGGCAACGGTTGCTCGTCTCGCAACCGCATCTCAGATGAGCTTCAACCAACAAATAGCTCAGTATAGAGGGAAGGTACCGGAGCAGCAACTCACGGATCTCGCCGTTGGACACTTTGAGGATTCTCTCGCCAAGACTCAGGCGCAGGTGCGGTTTGTGGAGAATGTTCCTGGCAGTCTATTCGTACTTGACTTGCGATATTGTTGTACAACGGCTTCACATGTCCAAGTCGATAACTAACGCAAAGAACCCAAAGTGTACACCTCATTTGTCTTGTCGATTTCCTGAGCCAGGAGGTTACAAAATTATTCACTTTGCTGTGCCTCCCAACAATGAGAGGAGATGTGTATGCCACCACTCTATGTTGTCGCTTGAAAATACTCTGTCTTCCCGGCAAAGGGCGGTTGTTTTATCGGGAGCAATGAGCTGTTGGTGGTGTAGCACATTTCTCATCTCCTTGCCGTGCGCGACTTGATGTGTCTCAGGTTTCAGTGGGCATGGGGATCTCGTTGGAGGACATGGAAGATGCTAGCAAGTACTACGAAGAGAAGGGGGACCCGCAGGTGATACATCGAACCAGCTGTGCCTTGTTGCCGTGCGAGGGACCTGGAATGATATGCTCGGTGATGTTGTATTGGATTGATTTTTTGTTTCAACATATGAATGCACCTGGCATGGTTTTGCGTGATATGAGTGTTTTGGCGAGCTAATTTTCGGTGGGCGGGAGGCATTTTTTTTTTTTCTCCCATCATTGGACTCTGTCGTCTGCCCCTCTGGTCCCTATCCTCCACTTCTATCAGCTAGACGACCCAACCGGGGTCACATAGGAGGGGGGGGTTGGACCCCCTCCTGCGGTTCCTGCCTGAGATATTTTTATCGCGAGAAGGGTACAGCAATCCCTTCCCTCGCGACTTAAGAAGTCGGTCAAGTTTACTAACAACGAGCTTTGCAGCGCGTCGCTTCCAACGCAGACCACGATTTAATTAGCGAGAAAAAAACTCACTCTCTCGGGACTCGAACCCATGACCTGGCCCTTAGCAGGCTGCGAGGCAACCCACTAGACCACCGGGGCGACCGGTGGTCTAGTCGGTAGCCTCGCAGCCATTGCATCGGACTGGTTGTTTGGTGAATCTGGTCGAGCGATGGTCATGGTGTCATGGTCCTTCCCCTTGCAAAAACTCATGGGCTCGAAGGGCAACATTTCTTTTAGAGGCTAACTCTTGTGGACATGGCGTTTTTGCGTGTGTTTGGGCCTGAGGTCAGGACTTTTTTTTCTTGCCGTGGCATTCCGTGTCGATCGTGGATCGTGGTGGCCCTGGTTGTGTCTTTTGCCTGCCTCGTAGGTGAAAGAGCAGTTGAGGCATCTCAAGCACCTCTATCTCACGGTGTCAAACTTGCCGACGGACGAAGAGGAGCCTGAGCTCCCGGACGACCTTACGGTGGAGAAGATGGTGACTGTCGTGACTGCCTTCTTCAAGGCGTCCAACAACGTCGTCGAGTCTGTTGTACAGGAGCTCCTCGCCAAGGTAAGAACCGTGCACCCCCCCTCCTCCCTCGCGAAAGTGCCTTGTAAGTTGGGGGTCCGGTTGATCGAAAATGACGTGCCTTGCAGGGCGATACCCTACCTCGTTGCCCACATACAGCAATCAGTTGATGCTTGTCGTGTTTTGTGTCGCTCTTTTCAGGGGGAGGACATTTCAAGCCCGGAAACGGCCATGAAGATGAGTATGATCATCCAGGAAAGGAACGGCCCAGCAACGGACGAGGCCATCAAGCGCTTCAACTTGAACTCCACGGTGCGTCCAGTGCCCGACTTTGCCGGCTCGGTGTAGATTTGTCTTGGGCGCCATGGCTTGATCGTTTGCTGTCTTGTAGTTTTGTGTTTTCGCAAATGTCTTGAATGAAAATTAATGTCCATGCAACGCACGATTCGGTTTCCGCAACAGACTATTGGGCCGGCAATGGAGAAGTTCCAGGAGCACCCGGAAATCAAAACCGCAATTATGGTGGGAAGCGAGGAGCAACATCAAATGTGAGTAATTTTTACATAGCCTGTCGGTGGGCCTGAGAGTTTCTATCTCTGTCTTCCATGGAACAGCATCCCGGGTGCTCGTCAGCCGTTGTTGCGGGGGGTTGAGCCAGCCCCGTTGTTTTGGTGTTTTTCAATGTCGTACGTCTCGCCTGACCTCTCACATCGCGTGATGCCTGTGCGTTTTATTCGCAGACTGAGGGCATACGGGCTTGCGGTGTAATCCATGCCTGGTTTCGATGGCGTGAGGTGCTCGTGACGATGTTGATGCTGCGATCCCGGGGTGTCCCAAAGAGCAGAACTTGGTTTTCGTAAACGGCGACCTGAAGGCTATCGACAGCACGCTTCTCTCGCGGCGCGTGCGCTCACGTGTCCCGTCCACTTGATTCCGGGGTTCGTCTCTGCGACAATGGGACAGAGCTACACAGCTCTTACATCGGATGTCTCGTGATTTACTTCCGTGTCTTCCTTATCGTAGTAGGAGCGTGGTACATGGGAAATGGGGAATGGTAGTGAGCTGCACTCCGACCCCGTGTAGATTGTCCCGACTGCTTTAGGTTCGGCTGGAGTCTGAATTTCCACGTTGGGTCTCGACGTATCGACGTACCAGGCACGCCTGTTGGATGGGTTCTATTGGTTCTGTTTTGAATTTATAATTAGACAGCAAACCCGCAGGAGGAGAGGGTAGAGAGGGGCTCTTCTGTGTGACCACTGGTTGGAGTAAAACGGCACTAGTGCTGTGGGCGCTGATTTGAAGTGAAGACAAAAATAAAAAAAAACGATTGGATTCCGAGGGTTTTCCAGTTGTGCTGGATAAAGCACTTCCATGTGTCCTACTGCTGTGCGATACTTGCGGTTCAAGTAGGAGCCTTGTTCATGTCCTCGTTTTGCGTTGGGCGGAAGTTTAACTTGTGGCAAACCTTAAATGTTGCATGGCGTCGACATGATGCCTTGTCATCACACGTCTTGATCCTTCAATCTGATTCAACAATGATAATTGGGTGCTCTCAGACTGCTTTCTCTTCCTGCCAATTTGGCCATGCTTTCTCCTTTTCTTCCCATCGGTCACATCTTGGCCCGCCTTTCTCTCTGCATTTGATGAAATAGGCTTTCTTTATTGCTATGCACACTGTATTTAGGCATAAGCTTTCAAGGTGCCGCCGAATGCACAGCCACACGAGTCTACCGGATAATGTTGAGAGATTAAAAAGGTGTTGGAGGGCACGATCAAACCCATCGGCGTCGATCTTGCAGTGATTGCAATATTATTGATCTAAAACTGCGCTTGGGCGTCGAAGCGGCTGAGGCAGATGGCAAACCCCTGGAGGACCGACAATGGCCACTCCAAATCCACGTTGAAGCAGTCCTTGCCCACCTGTTGCGCGTTCGTGGCAATTGCCGGAGACGGATATTAGTGAAAAATATGTGGACATCAACAATTAAATGAGTGGGCACGAAGCGTGAAGGACAGGTGGATAGCGCTTTGTACAAAATCGACTTCTCGCAGTGATGCGAAGCAGCCGTTACGCACGAGCGAAATATAACACGATGACAGACATGATCATCAAACGTGGGTGCGGTATGGTGAACATTTCACCAAGAACGGTTTGCAACCGTCCCAAGAATCGGAGCGTACTTCCCGCTATTGAGTTGATTGGTTCTTCTGCGCAGCTTGGCGTTGATCCAATGTCCTCTTGCACGCCGCGAGCAAGGCCGGACGAATTGCGTTGTAACCGGTTTGGACCATGTACACCTGGCTCGTTGGAGACGAGCATCAACTTCAAGTATACAAAATCAAGCTTGGACGGCATTGAAACAAATAAACATGCTGACCACGACAGTCGGCTTGTTCCACGTCCAAAATTATGTTTGCCCTGATGAGCCATAACCAACATCCCCACCTCCCCCATCAAAAAGGGAAGGCACACCTACCTTGCCCATTTGAAGAAAAACTGGTCTCGGTATATCGTTGCTTTCAACGTCGTTCTTCCCCGCCCCCTCACTGAAGTACCTCGCTCGCTTCACACTGTACACATGCACCACGCGGAGTTGCACATGTCAAGGCGGAGTGCTTCTTCACATACTGCTACGGTATTTGGATGTAGACACGTGATCGTGGTTGACCATGGTTATTTGGCGCCGTCGGATGCTAAGACGTGACGTCATGCTAGATCAGGGCTTTACATGCCGAGGCATGTGCCCTTCTATTCAGTGTGCGTGCCGACGATCCATGATCTTGTGTGCGTAGGATATTGTGAGTTGGCTTGGAAAGCGTTGACCAAGATAAAGAGAACAACGGAGGGCAACAACAACCTGCTCCTGTGGTCGGACACAAGAAGAGTCCACACAGGACAAAGAAAGGTGATTGATTCTGGAGGAAGGGGTCAAAAACCATTGCAGTACATTTACTGGCGAGAACAGGCTTACCGGAAGTAATCACTACAGTATTCATTGCAAAACAGTTATTGTTTGAATGCAAGGTGGAACATTGCCTCCTAGATGCTGACTGACGACTCACTTGTCTTCTGGGGGTGACTTGATAAGCTGGAAGTTTTTCACAGACGGAGCCGTCGCTCGGCCCCTGTAGTCAACGAGGCAAGACGACAGAGGGTCGTACCGGCTCTCCCTTTGATGGTAGATGAGCAGACGATCATCTTGGAGGAAGTTTTGGGCACCCTGGGTGAATGGGATTGAGAGACGGTGGCATGGGTTGAATCGGTCGGATCTTGGTCACTGCCCGTGCGCCCCTGCTACATTGCAGCGTGCACATCTTTGGAAAGAGGGTCCCTGATCCCTGATAGGGTTAGATTTCATGATTGGGAACAAGATACGAGCTCAGACCTGCCGCTAAAGGGTTAGTCATCTCCACCATTTTCACCTTACTCGGTCGAAGCACAAGAGGAGGGAAGTTCAAAAGTCAATGCCTTGAGCATGCCCATGGTAGAACCCTCGAGGTTCATTGTGTTGACAATCACGGCCACGAACTGCACAACAAATCTTCATTTCGCAGGTTGACTCCGCACGGGCAAGGGGATCATCTATAAAACGTATATGCAGAAGGTGCAACACGTCCTCTCCCGCCAGCTTGCGGCGTGGCTGTCAAATGTGGAGCGACTCCTTCGCTCTCTGGCGTTTTCAGTCGAAAACACTGTGTCCGCCATTGGATTGCTCAAACATGAAAACATCGATTGAGCTGACTTGGTGGCCCTACTCACCTGATACCGTATTCGCCCGAAGTTGTTTATCATACTCTCCTTCATATCGTTAGGCTGCCATGAGACCGGCTTCCAAGAGTCGCCTTCCTGCTCAAGCTGCGGTATCGCAACCTCCATTCGACGCTTGCCCGTCCGCTTCGGGGATTTCGAAAGAATGAAGGGAAAAAATTAGCAGTTGGAATCCTCGCCTGATAGCACACCCTAAGCCACTCGTGTGACAGTCAGAACAATGAAGTCGAACTTATAGCGAGCGGTCATAGTTGTCGGAGTCAAGGTGCGGTCGTCTACATGGTTTACCACTTTGCATCTCTCTGAAGATCGAGACGACAGTCCAAAACAATGTCCCAGCTATGTTCGCCGCATCAGTGGCACGTCGGCCACTACTGTACAGACATGGCGTTGAGCTGCGGATATAACAAAGCACAGCACCTGCTCTTTTTTGTCGAAGTTGTAGATGATTACGCCAAGCTCCCTGCGGACTTCTCCCTGGCCATGCCTCTCTTGTTGCCTCAATGTCTTGGATCTGGCGAGGTCAATTGGATTCCGCATCGACTTCGGCTTTGCCCCCGCGCCGGCATCAAGGCTGGCTTCGCTAGCTGCTACGGCAGGGTTGTCTCCCCTAAACGGGGTTCCGGGAATTTTGTAGACGTTAGGTGAAGAGTGAGAAACCCCAGAGAACTCCATTCTGTGCTCCGTGGTGTTATCCTATCGCTATGTGGAACCAAGCGAAGGCAACCAAGGAAAGTAGGCAGTGGCCAAGAGCAACGCTTTGTTTCTGTTCGAAAATGATACATTTGTTCTATTTAACTCACCTGTCGTACAGGGCGTACTCCGTGTGGGCTACGCTGGAGGCTCTTAATTTGGCGAGAAACGAGTTTCCACCCCTCTTGCCGTTGTCCTTGAACAAGTCCTCTTGCCGGGTGCATATCGTGTAGTACGCGGTTTTGCTGGCCAGCAGCTGGAGGGCGTTGAGAGTTTGCCACAAAAATACAAGAGGTTTGTTGAAATAAGCGGCGCCAAGAAACATCATTGAGCAAACCCTCCTTCTACGAACTTTGCATGTGAAACGTATTGGCAGCTTAGGGCCGTTAGTTTTTTTAATAGGCTAATCGCTGCAGACCACGGTGTTCACCTTGCGGGCGGCCAGCAGCATGCGCCCACTGCCATCCCCGAGATCGGCGTACATAGAAAACACGGGGGAGAACTTGTGAGTTCCACTCCGATCCCGCTCAATGAAACAACGTAGAACGGTCCCTGGGCCCGAATTGAGCGGGCCGGACACGAACCTTTTCAGGTCCACTCGTTTAGTCGGAATGGTCGAGCTGTCAAAAACTGCAGATCTTATACCGATAGATTCGCCCCACCGCGCACCACGGATTGGTTTGCCGACAGCCACCTCAGCGCGGTTCACGGTAGTCTGCGGTAGCGATTCCGCGTCAGAATTCATCAAGGGTTGCGTTGGGCCATGGCCGGAGCCCGAGCTCCCAGCCATTTTCTGAATTGCATCATCTTGTTCGCAGTCACTGCCCCACGCTCCGGAATCGTCTAGTTTCCCTCTGGTTCCATCTGGGGACCTAAATAGCTTCTCCGGCGCCGCCGCCGCGGTGTTGTTGTTGCCGTTGGCTGTGTGCCTTGCGCTGTCCTCGTCGTTTTCGGAGTTCGTACATGTTTTTAAGGACTGGAGCTTTGGTCGTTGCTTGCCGTCGCCACTGTTCGGGTTCAGCTTAGTCATCTCCAGCTGATCGGAAGAGCTACCGGTACTGTCCACATCTACCGAATCCCAGCTGTATTTGTTGCCGCTCCAGCCGTACCCTTCGGCCTCGCTGTCGTCCTGCTCTGCCCGTTTTCGTCGAGAGCGACGGTTTCTACGGCCCCTCCTGCTTTCCCCGGTATTCGATTTTGGCCTTTCCGGGCTTCCCCCGCAGTCTTGTGTGCGGGACCGTGAATCACTGTCCTCGAGAAGACCCGAACGTGGCATTTCTTCCGCTGTCGAACCTCTCGGTAAGGAAGTCGGTGTACGTAGACCAACTCTATCCCTGTCTTCTCGGTGTTTCGTTCTGTGAGAGTTGTTCGCCCTCTGGTGCTGGTGCAGGTGTCGTTTATGACTTTTCCGGTTGACATCTCGCCGTTTCTGGCTTTCCTCTGAGCCTACATCGCTTAGCGTATCTCTCTGGCGATGGTGGCTACTAACGGAGCGAGCTGTATCATGTAGCTCTCTTCTTGGAGAATGCCGATATTCGTTCCGATCCCAGGCCTCTCGCCTCTCTTCGTTTCTCAGTGTGCCATCTCTCCCTCTTGTTCCTTGATGGGCATCTGTCTTAGCATTCGACACGTCGTCATCGCTGCTCCAGCCACTACTCTCCAACCTTGAGGATCGTCTATCGGGGCCCGTGCCTTGTTGCCGATTCCGATGTCTTCTACTTCCTCGTTCTCCCAGAATGCTTCTTCTTCTGTCACGTGGTGAGGTACTGTTTGCACCAAGTGAACGACGATCTTGCCGCTTCCGGACGGCTGGTAAGGGATGAGAGCCTCGCTCGTGGTCCGAACTCAGGTTGCCCTCGAAAGATCCCCGGCTTGACCCATCGCTAGGACTCCCTTCGTGCGATGGAGATGACTGTACAAGATTGCCACGGCTGCACCGCGAAATAAAAGAACGAATAATCAGTAATCTCCGAGGCCAGTGGCATAGACTGTGTCGATAGACGAAGTATATTTGAATCAGCTCGATCCCCCACAAGACGAGATGTTGCATCACCTAGTCGTGCTGTTTGGTGGGACAGAGGGCAACTCGACATAGCACCCCACCTGCTGAAGCCTTGACGATCGTCGTGCTGCCCGGCACTCACACGATCTCCGGTGGGTTCTAGAGCCTGTGGGTGCAACGGGCGCCGGACAGCTTGCCTTGCGCGCCTTGCACCCCCAGGTGGAGCCCCCCTTGGAGGCGGCACTCTGCCGCTGCGACTAATATTTGCTGGGGGGGGATCAGACGGGGGAGGGGGAACACATCTCGAAGGACTTTGCATTGTGTATCACTGAAGGGACCTTCTTGTTGTGGCAATATCCATGTCAAAGAAATACCCTCCGCAGGTACCCAGAGATCGTTAGATAGATTGTCCTTGGGCAAGCAAGGGGGACCTCGGTTCCAATTCAAAAAAGAAACATAAAATATAATCGCTTGACCGTTACGGGTTCGGAAACACGCTTCCGCCTTTTCCACGAACACCCCGCGTTGGATTCACGGAGCGCCCTCTCTTAGCGGGCACACGCTACAAGCAAGGTCACCGCGCGAACTCTGCACGGACAGAGAGGGAAAGGAAGGACAGACAACGATAGCAAGCAGCGGAACATGGCGACGCCGGTAGGCACCGGGCCAATCGTGCAGGATGTCGCGCCCAAGGGTGGATTCCCTAAGGTACGCGAAACGCTAAATGTCCACTGCTGATGAAACAACTTGCGCACACACCTCTTCTTACGTCTGCCCTCAAGGGACTTGGCATGATATACTGATGCTTATCGGTATTGGATGTGCTTGAAGGCTGCGCTACGACTTTGGTCTGGTTACAAGTTAGGCCAATGGATTTACTTCAAATGTGTGCACACTTGCAGCAGTCAACCCGGAAGCACGGTCCGGTTCGTTCGTACTCTGTATACATCCAGCCGTGTGTGCGTGCATTCAAAGAACGATTGGGTCTGCTGGGAACACAACGGTTAGCTTCAGGCCTTTGTTGACATGGAGCACGTAGTCTCGTGTTGTATACAGTATATTGGTGCCGTTGGGCTGGAGGGTGTTTGACAGGGCCTTCGCAAGTGCGGAACTGCTGTTAGATGAAACTCAGTCGCAAGATGTGAAAGCCGGTTCGATTGCCAGCTGCAGCACTAACGAGGCTGCGAAGACTAAACTAAGTTGTCCCCCGGCACATGGCCAGGGGTCCCGCCCCGGAGATGACTGTCGTAGCTGCGAGGGCCAGAGAGCCCGAGGCACATTATTTGTTGAGAAAGGCTAATCCATTATGCTTCTCAGTCAGCATCGACGGGGGTTTATGCAAGTCTCGCACAATCGGTACCAGTAGGGAGGGGTCATGAGCCGCGGGGTACGACTCAATACCTGACCGTAGTACATCTGCGATGCTGTGCAAGGTGCGGGACACGCTGCTTCCAAGCAGCAACGCAGCAAAACCCAGAACGCCCAGTTCATATTTTCGAACAGATCTTCCAAAGGACCGGTGCATCCGCTCCCGCTGGAAGGTTGAAATGCTACACATGAACGGCGGAGGAACGCACCACACATGCTCGCCCACTCCTACAGCAGCGCAGTACCGACAAACGATCAGCACCTCACAGCACTGCCGCCAACATAAACGAACAGTGGGAGCTGACACGAATGCACTAGTGCTGCTGCTACTGCTTTGATTGGCAGTGACTCCCATCTGTATTTTTGTACCCATCATGACGATCAAACCGTTGTGACAAAAGAGCGCGCTATTTTTCGTCTTCCTCAGAAGTGAACAGATCGTCAAATCCGTGTCGAATTAGTCTTGGTCGGGTCCCTACGATGTTTTTTTTTTGGCTTCCCGGAAACCAAACGTTGGGCCCCTGCATCACGATTGGAACCAGTGATCGATATTTAGAGGCTTTTATTCCGTCAGGGAAGAAGTTGCGGCTTCGCCGCGATGCGGCTCATTAAATCTCAACCAAGCGAACAAAGACATGCCCTTGGTGGGCTCGTTGGCCCTCCCAGCTACGGCAGTGATATCCGGGGCCGGACCCCTCCTCGCCATGCGCTGCTGGAAAGTCTTCATTTGCGGATGCACGATATTGGACTTCGCCCGACCTTGACTACTGCGAAGGTGTCTGTACATTAGACATTCGCGTAGGTTCACACGGGATACTGTAGACGTTGAATCCTTCGCCCGGCATCCATTTGTGTCTCGTGAACTGCCCGTTGGTTCCAACAGCGCAATGGGCCTGAGCGTGAGAGCGTCCCATCCGTTGGTACCACCAGCGTAGTACTTGAGAATGAAAGTGTCCCTGACTTGGGGAAGTGTTATTACATATTCAACTATCGTCGGCGTCAATTGAGGCAGGCAGGGGTGCTGGCCACCGATCTTGGTTTGGACAACAATAAATGTAAGATCGCCTGAGGAACACCCAGCAATCACAGGAGTACGAGATGCATACCAATGAATAAATCAAATCAAGTAGTTTAAGTTTTTGGAGAGGCACTTAACAACTCTGTTGTCTGACAGAGGAGTGGTTGGGGCTTGTCTCCTCCAGCATATGACGCACTGTACCTCCACAAACACACGCCCTCTCAGACCAAGGAAGAACTTCCATGAGCCAATTGCATCATTCCGAAACAGAAGAAAAACACGAGTGCTCGTAAAATGGTCTTCGCGTGTCGGAGTCTCAACCTGCGTCCCACATCAGTGCCGGACATCGCGGAGGAGCGACGCGCATGTCGGCAAGCTCATATCTGCTTTTGAGGCTGTGCTAGCTGTGCTATCGAACGCTACACTGCGGCCCGAAAAGTCCGCACATCTGGGTCCACTATTTATCTTTCACTGCCGACCTGGCCGTCGCAGATCCGATTTACAGAACTGGAGGTTTACGTACAGCAGCACACACGTAGCTCCTTCTACGTGCGTACAACTAGCTGCCTTTGACAACCCGCACTCCGGGAAATTGGGGCTTGTGGCGGCTAGTCAAAGGGTGGGTTGATCCAGGTTTGCAGAGTTTGAACCCAGCTGTAGTCTTCGGTGTCACAGCCCCAGCACAACATGCGAGCGACATATCGCTCAAGGTGAAAGTGGATCTCTCATTCCGCCGAGCCTCTGTTGTGTGGAACAATGTGTGATCGAAACGGGTAGTTTCAAAAAGAAAAATTGGTACCACGATTGGCACTTGGTTGCGAAGCAGTCTTTAGTGCGCTGATGAAAAGTCGCCCACAACACATAAATGGGTTTTCGCTCTGTCTCTGTCTCTCTCGTTCGCGTTAGATCCAAATATCGCGGCAACTGCCATCGGGCCGAGGACCGCGCGGGTCGGTCGTTCTCAGCTTTGTGACGGTCACGATTGCCGTTGGGTACTACAAGCTCGGACAATCGAACAAGGCGCGGCGAGCAGAGCAGCACGAGAAGCGCCTGGCCCGAATCGCGTTGATGCCGATGCTTCAGGTGAGAGGGAGGGTGACATTTGTTTCTTGGCGCCGTACATAAGCGAGAACAGGGATTTCATCGTGATGGCTCAGTCAAAAGCGAATGGCGGATGTAGGCTCAGGTCACGTTGTGAACTGTGAGCTTGCTGCATACTTGGTTCTATCAGTAGTTTGTTTATACTGCTGTTGCCATATTTTACCAAGGCGATGTTATGGCTGAGCACAATTGCCCGACCCGCACAGGAAAGCTTCGTGTTCATCTCAACTCGTGTCGTCGTGCACCACGGACTTTTGGCTTTGTCTATCCCCCTGGTTAGTTTCGCGCGATAAAGCGCCTCGGACTTGTTTCTATAATAGTCCATTTTTCTCGCTTTTCCGGCCAGTTCCCAAGAAATCGATGGCCGTGTATGGCAAGCACTGCTGGCGTTCGAACCTTGTTCGGTTGAAGTGTGTCTCGTTCTTCAACACCCTCAAGAATAGTGTTTCGAGCCATGCACGAAGAGGCTCCGTGTCTTGGTTGTTTTCCCCGTTAGGGGCGTCCAAGACGAAAAAACAATGCACAGGTCGTTCCTCCCGGCAGCAGAACCGAACGTTTTGTTGTTTCACAAACAGGATATGTCGGAGGGACACCCGTTGTTCGTTGGGAAGGCGTTCATCTCCGGCGCTTGACACGAAGTCAGACCTTTCGTATTGGCGGCAGAGCGGAATAATACCCTCAAATGCGCAGGCAAATTGTAAGCGCCGTGAGCTTACGTAACTGCCGTCTTTTCGCCGTCTATTTGCGTGGTATATCTCGCTTCTTTCACGTCTGTGTCATGCGTTTG